TCAGTGCTTGTGAAAAAAATTGTTATACAAATTTTATGTACCCCCTTTAAGGGGCTGTATCTTAACAAGGGATGCTCCAATGAAGTTTCTTTATATGAAAGATCCTATCTTTTTTTCGATTAGGAATCACCTCCTTAAATGTTTTACACTTATTCAGTTACACCCTGTATAATATCACTCGAAATGTTCTATCCCAAAAACTAATAGTCCGACAGGTGTGAATTTTGTATATGTGTCTTTTGAAAGTTAGTTAGCTAAAAATCATATGTATTTGATACTACTACCGCCATCTGTTAGTTAGCCTACGATTTTTTCAGCCCACTTAATACACATACAAGGTCAAATATAGTAAACATCTATACAAATGGGTCTGAGAGTAACTATGAATCACTCACCTGGAATCCTTGACAACAGAGTCCTTGAAATACGACACGGACGTCTTGATATTGATGAATTCAGACTCCTCCACCGTACAATTTATAAACTCCACATGGTTCAGACTCATGTGTCTGAAGGAAACATTCCTGAATAACGTATTGGAATAACGCATATTTTCCATGGTCCCGTTGAATATTGTGTCTGCGAATGTTCTGTCGTTTATGTACTGTTTCTGAGAGAAATACTCCTGTTCTCTCAAGACCTTGATGGAGAACGGGATGAATTCCGAGGAACCTGTGTACATGAAACCGATGAGGAAATTCAGGGAGGCAAGGAGGAGGGTCCTGCGAAAATGGGTCGGGCAGGATACGAACTGGAATGCCTCTCGAAACTGGAAGAAATCGAAAAAATATATACTGTTTAGTATAGAAAGACCAATGTTGATTGTTGTTTGAAAAACGGACATTGTATTTCTTTAAATTCTGTTCGAAAACTGGGCTTACTTTGTCTTTTGTTCCTCAGTTTAACAAATACTGAGGTTTCCAATTGAATTATAATTAGAAATATCGGCTCCGATGAACTACACCTGCTTTTCGAATTTCAAATTATCCACTCCAAAAATAACTGAGTCGTGGCGGATGGCTCTTTTCTGGATGGAATCCAGCTGTTTCAGGGTATGTTTGGGGGCGGAGCTTCATACATGAGAACAATACTCCAAAGAAGGTCTGAACTGAGCTTTATAAAGCATTGAAAATCTACCAGGCAATGCTTTATCAATACTAGTTGACTTAATAAATATCTCATATAAAGAAGGAGTTTTTCCAAATTTTCTCAAAACGTCTATTGTTATTCCTCTCAGTAGATAGTATACAGGGCTTCTGTGGCACAGCGTACTTACGGTAGTGAGTGGGAAAGAGACGTGTGCGACGTAATCGACGCATAGAAGGATGGAATGAGCATCGAGTAGATTCATTTGATAGATAAGAACGCGGTGGAATTACAAAAATAACATGTGTGTCATACATGGTATCTCATCGTTTAAGAAAAAACATGTACGGGGTGTTTCAAATACGTCAGCGCGTGAAGAAATGATATAATATTTTATTATTTTTCGCGCTGACGTACACCCTGTACATGTTTTTTCCTAAACGATGAGACACCCTGTATGGCAGCAGCCATGTTTTTTTCTTTAACGCCCCATGACCATGTTTTTTTCTTTAAAACGATTTTTCGTTCATTATTATTATTATACCGTTATTTTCCACGCTGACATATTTGAGACACCCTGTACATGTTTTTTCTCAAACGATGAGACACCCTGTATGACAGACATGTTTTTTTCTTTAATGTCTGTGGCCATGGTTTTTCTTCAATCCGATTTTTCGTTCATTATTATTATTATATCATTTTTTTACGCGCTGACGTATTTGAAACACCCCGTACATGTTTTTTCTTAAACGATGAGACACCCTGTATGACACACATGTTATTTTTGTAATTCCACCGCGTTCTTATCTATCAAATGAATCTACTCGATGCTCATTCCATCCTTCTATGCGTTGGATACAATCCTATATGACAAACAGAGAAACGGTTGTTATCTGCAATGGAGCGACATCTGAGTCAAATACGGTAAAACTCGAGGTGCCACAGGGCTCTGTTCTAGGACCTCTACTGTTTCTTCTCTATGTCAATAATCTTCCTCAACATATGAAGGGAAGCTACGTTACAATGATAACTATAACAGGCAATAATGTTGAGCAACTCATCAGCAAATCTTAACACATTATTGATCAGTTCAGTACTTGGTGCCAAAGAAATAAACTTATTTTAAATACTTCTAAATCACTTCAGAAAAAATATTCCAATTGGTCGACGCTCTAGCTATGATATTAAAACTTCTGAAGAAATAAAATTTTTAGGTACCTACCTAGACGCCAATCTAAATTGGGATAGGCAGGTGGACTATATATGTGCTGAGTTAAATAGATTATATTATGCTATAAAACAGCTGAAGTCCTGTTTGGATGAAACTGGCTTACTCAGCATATATTATGCCATGGCCTACCCTCATATAAGTCTGAATATTATGGCTTGGGGCAGAGCAAGGGATTTTTCCAGAGTCTTTATAACACAGAAACGTATCATAAGGCTAATCTTCAATATGGATTTCCGGGATAGCTGCCGGCCCGTTTTTATAGACAAAAAAATATTGACATCCTCCTCCATCTTCATTCTTAAATGTATTTTATTTGTTAGGCAAAACCATAAATTCTATGATTAGACTGCTTCAGAACACAGTCGTAATATAAGAAACGATGATCTTCTAAAAATCTCACAGCATCTCTTGACGAGCTATAAAAAATCCCCTCAGTATAATGTCATTACGTGCTTCAATAAGCTGCCAAATGTAATCAAAGTATTTCATGATTGTGTTAAAACTATGCTTTTAGAAAGATACTATTACAGTTACCAAGATTTTTTAATTGACAATCTCACAAACAATCAAATTCACAGTGGACGTAATTTTATTTAAATGAAATTATGTGAATGGTGTAAAATGTTCAATTAATTTGTGGGCATATGTACTTATTTGTATATGTGTGTATATGTGTATGTGTATATATGTGTAAATGTGAATATATGTGTATATATATAGAGGTAAATCTGTGCTCAATCTCCTTCTCTTTTTATCTTTACTAGCTTGTAGTACAACTGACTTACCTTATATACCCAAGTGTATAAAAAATGGTGAATATACATTATTATTATTATTAGACCCCCCAAGCCATTGAAAAAAATAGGGGGTAGTTGCTAACCGCAGGGGGGTAAAGTTTCGGGTATGATTTTCATATCGGAAATAGTCCCCCTCGAAATAAAAATTGACATATTCTTTGAAATTTTCGATTACATGTCCAAGACTTACAGGGGAGGTCAAGTTTTCTTTGGAACGCCCTGTATATTATGAATGTTCGAGCAAATTACCATTACTTTCCGATAAACTTATCAACCTGCCAAATTTCAATCACTTTTTGAACGCTTCAAGAACTGGCCTTCTCAGTTGATCCTCAGATCCAAAAACTTGATGGTTAATATAAGTTTTTCAATACTCTCAGAGACAAAATCGAGCGATGTGATATCGGGTAAGTGAGGGGACCAAAATACCTTTGAATGGGTTCTCTTTGAGCATTTGAGCACTGATTTTATACTCACCGATGCCACTCCATTGTTTATAATACTCTTCGTAGGGCTGACTTGTCTGTCTCTATACGCGCTTCTAGCTGGTAGTTCCAGCTCCGTCAGGCCATACTTCTTCTTGCTGCTGTTCAGTCCATGGAGCCTCTGATAGACAGCCAAGGCCTCCACTTCCCTGGAGGCTTCGAGGAGGTATCGAGGTGATTCAGGAGCCCAGATGAGGCCCAAGATGCAGCATACGGTCGGTAGAGTGCTCAAAATCAGTAATCTGTAAATTTAATGAAATTTTCTGTACAACCAGAAAGTTTCAAAGTAATTAGCTCATATTATTGTTTTTGTAGCTCTTATCAGGACTTCATCCACTGATACGTACTGATAAGTACTGAGAAGAGTATTTTAACTTCACATCCGCAGTTTTTACTGCTCAGCGAGTACCAAGTTTCAGCCTGCCAGAAGATGTAGGTAGATAAAGAGCGAAACGCGTTTATTTTTCAACAGGCGCTCAAAGAATTTTTTTTTTCGAAACTGCGGCGACATCTTCAATTAGCAAGCGGCAGAACTCACAAACTACTCTCCAGTCGATTGCAGACATCTGTGACATCTTTGATTAATGAACGGCTGAACACAAAAACTGAACCTTCTGGTTATTGTCAGTCACTGAGGATATACAGGAATTATCATAAGAAGTGTCGCATTGTCAACAATCCATTGTTCTCATCACGTTGGGGCTGAAAATCATACATCAGAGTTGAAAATACTCTTCTGATGAACCCCCATAAAACGGCAGCGACATCTTTAATTAGCGAATTGCACACCACATGAATTACTCTCCACTCAATTGAAAACATCAGCGACATATTTGATTCTCGAACGGCAGAACACATCAATTAAACCCTCTGGTCATTGTCGACCGCTCAAGGGTAAACAATAACTATCATGAGGAGTTTCGTATTGTCAACAACCTATTGTTCTCATTTGAAAATTATACATTAGGGTTGGAAATTAAGACCCATCTGATGAACCACCTTAATTACTGACGGCAGCGACATATTTAATTAGCTAGCGGCAGAACACATGACCCAAATCCTCTGGTCATTGTCAACTAACCAATTACAAGACATGACTTCTAAATGACCTCTAAGACATGCTGGATCAGCACATGACATTCGCATGACCTCTAAGACATGCTGGATCAGCATGTCTTAGAGGTCATGTGAATGTCATGTGTTTAGCATGACCCAGGATCACGTTAGTTTAACTACTTCTATCTTTTTCAATTTTCTCTATATTTGATTACCTCCTGGTCTATAAATTACAATGTTTTGTGAGTTTTACAGTAATGTAACTGGAGATTTTCGATATACTCGGAGGACAAATATATTTGGTGAATTTTTACAACAAGTATTTAGGAAAGTTTTTCTTCCCCCAACGTTATGATTTTACATCAAATTTTGGTCTGGTACGGTTGAAATTCAAGCGAGCAGAACTGCTGTCTGTTATTTTAACGTCACAGACTTTCAAATATTCCGAAAAAGTAAACACCATTCATATCCAAATGTTTCAATGTTGATCTACAGATAAACATATTCATTGTACGAAATCTCTGTAAATATTTGCAGCCAATGTAGTTGTCATAAATGTTCAATACAATTAGTTAGTACCTGAAAATTGCGAAATCGTGTTTGTTTTTAATTTTCGTAATATTCAAGTCAAAAAAGATGATTTTAAAATATTCCACTAATCATCTTATACGGTCAATGTCATACATAATTCCTCCACACACGCTTATCAGCATAAAGTAGCTGTCCATTGTCTGAGAGTAATTTCCAGAGAGAACTGAGTTTCATCAAACAAATTATAAGATAGACATCATATCGACTCCATTCTTCACAAAAAAACTGCAAAAGCAAACTATAGACCAGGTCTATCCAAATTCAAGATACGATAAAGTCCACTATAGGTCATATTTGGGAGGACCCATCAATAATATCGTCCGTTTTTTGAAAAAAGAATGCGTAGACGTAGCTTATAGAAAGTCGCGAGTCGAAATTCGCCAAGTTATGGCGGAAGGCAGAATTCTTGTGCGCGACGCAAAATTCGCTGCCCCGGATTCTCCTGCACACTCTCACAGACAGTGAGAGTGTGTGAATAGTCCTCTCGGTAGGAGGATTATAGCGACCGTAAAATGGACGAAGCGCGCGGTACATTGCCCGAACAGAACACCTATATTATTTGCAAGTGTTGTTGAATGCTTCATCCGTCTATGGTGATTTGGCAAAATAGACTAACTAAATGACAACTAAATTGACAGATGTAGCTTCAACAAAATGATTGTTTTCAATATTATTTCCATATGAATTAATTTTACATAAAATAATGGATAATGACAACAATATGTGTTTGTTATTGAAACGCCACAGACAGTCTAATATCTGAAAATAAATTCCGCGAGAAAACAACGGAGTTTATAATTGAATGTTTGAACGTTGATTTGCAAATCAGCATTCTTACTTCTACGCGAGAATTGTTAAAAATCTCATTAAATATTTGCAACATGTGTCTTTTTATAAGTAGCAGAGAGTATGAGAGAATCAGTTAGTAACTGCAAAATTTTGGGTATGGCATAATAATTAGCAGTTGAAGAAACATAAAATGTCCCTCAGAAATAGTTTTTTGGGGAAGAGATCTTATCAGTATCTCGCTGCAATCACAGGTTAGTAAAAGAAAACTCGGCTTAATTCAATTTCGAAAAAATAAATACGATATTCTCAATTCTTCATGCCATGTTACGAATCACACGTTAAAAGGTAAGACCTCGTTAATCCTTAGCTCGCACAAGTTTCGACTTCTGAGGGTTGTCGTTCGTAGGGGTGCGACAGCTGGTTAACGGAAAAACAGATTTTAAAACAGATTTAAAACAGATATATCAAATAGACAGAGATAGTAGAGGGTTTTGGGGTGGGAAAGCACACTGCTATCATAGTGTTTGACCTCAACAAGGCCATTCAGTCCTACAACATTCTTTTTGAAACGTTCCTAGTGTGGCTGTAGAGGAACTAAAATATTACACATTGAGTCTCATTTCTAACTACGCTACCAACGAGTCCCTTATGATGATAATACCTCTGAATATATGCAAGTCTCCCATGGTGTACCCCAGGGTACTGTACCCGGACCACTAATTTTCATAATTGATATAAATTCGTTGAATATTCAATTTTGGGACAAAATTTATGACTATTGCGCAGCAACTTTCCGGCATGAACAATTGCATTTTATATACTCGTATATCAATTTTCAAAAAGCGTTCGATGAAATGAACTTTTGCCAAATATATTGAGTGCCTAGTGCTAAATGATAAAACAAGCAGTTCAAAAAAGATTGTTTAATGTCTAAGCAGGAATAAATCCCAATATTAATATTATTAACAAGCATGTTACAGTTTATATTTGCCTATGTATACACAATACACATACATATATACATACATACACATATACATGAATACAATACTAATTTATCAACTAGAAACACCTGAAGCGAGTAAACAAAAAATAAAATAAAGTAAACATTTAGGAGAGTTAAGCAAAAAATTAGGTGGAACACTTGTTTGCAGCAAGCTAGGAGAGTAATTAAAAAAAACCTTTAGTCAGATATAGTAAAAACATAGTTCAGGTGTATTACAAAAGAAAACATAATTCAGCAGTAATACAGTAATAGCAATAAGCTCACATGGTAGAGTAACTTTCAATTTGGGCTCATGTATTTTGACTTGAGTGTAAAAGTTTTTTAACGTGGTTCTTAACTTGACCAATAGGATCATAATAAATGTCGAGATTTTCACAGAGTTGATTGTAAACTTTGCTCATTGCAACAACTGGTGACTTGAGTAATATGTTTGTTCTAGAAGTTGGTAGATCAAAAGTCAGTTCATTTCTAGAATTGATTCGTGGAACATGAAAGTTGAAGTGGGAGAGTAGTTCGGGACAGTCAATCAGATTATTCACTAGTTCATAAATGAAAATTATAGAGTAGAAGGTTCTTCGGTTTTCAAGGGATTATAGATTAAATTTATTCACTAGTATTCTGTTGTCGATGCCTTGTTCACTTCTCCTTCTAGCTTGTAAGTAATATATTTCATGAAGCCTCTTTGTATAGACTCGATTTTGTTTATATGGACATTGTATATGGGTGACCATATAAGGGAGGAATATTCCAGCCGAGATTTGACGTATGCATTGAAAAGAGTTAAAAAACTGTCTGCTACGTTGTTTGTATTGAGGGGAAGATTGACAAAAGTCAAGGTTTTTTTGTAAGATTAGGCAGTCCTCCTGTGATGTAATGGGCCGAAAGATTTTCAAATCATCTGCAAAGAGTAAGAAATTGCTAGCGAGAGTATTTCCTATGTCGTTAATGAAGAGTGACAATAAAAGAGGTGCTAAATTGCTTCCTTGAGGGGCACCACTTTTTGCAATAAATTGGAACGACTTGTGACCCCTATAATCTACGAATAGGTTACGTTCAGTTAAGTATGAGCGGAAAAGGTTTAAGAGTTGGGGGTCGAATCCATATTGGTGAAGTTTATTGATAAGAATGTTCAATACAGTTATAAGTAAAGGTTAATGTCGTACAATGAACGTTATTTTTATATTCAACTTGCTTCTTCAGGAGTTCCTCGGGGATCTTACAAGGATCCGCTTCTCTTTCTGACATTTGTGAATGATTCGTGTAAGGAACTATATTGTCTTTGAGGATGATTCGAAGTTTTTTTACAGTTGAACATACAATGCATTTCTCTAATGTCCCCCCCTTTTATTTTTTGTATGGGTCAACTCAAAAAATTGAAATTTGGGATAATGAAATTAATTCATGAATACTTTATTTTGAAGTGAAATTGACAGATGAAACTTTCAAGATGGCGACTGCGCGCCATCTGGAAAAAAAAATAAATAGAAAGGGGGGTCTTGTGACATCTTTTTGAAGCTCCTGACAAATGCTTCACAACCCTAGAATATAATGTCAATTTCCAATGAAAGAAATGCATTTTATGTATAATTGTGAGCATATGCAGAAACAGTTGAATATTATTCAAAGTTGGTGTAGTCAGAACAAGTTGTTTCAATGTTCGAAAGTGTGGAGACGTCAAATTTATCAGAAGGATCTCCTAGGCACAATGTCGGTGATAAGCTTCGGCATGAACGGAAGCTGGACTTCCCCTTACGTCCCTCAACTGCTGTCCGACACATCAAAGATACCCATGAACAGCGACGAAGCCGCCTGGTGCGCCATAGCCCATCTTTGTGGTTGCCCGTTTGGGGCGCTGGCAGCTGCCTACCTCACAGACAGGATAGGTCGGAAGTACACCTTGCTGAGTATGGCGCCGATGGTATTCTTCTCCCAGATCGGCATAGGGTACGTTACCAACGTCTGGCACCTCTTCGTACTCAAGATGATCATCGGAGTCGCTGATGGAGGGTGTTTCACAGTAGTGCCTATGTACATCGGAGAGATTTCCTCTCCCGACATAAGGGGCTTCCTGTCGTCGCTGGTTTGCCTGTTTTACATCCTTGGGGTACTACTGATGAACGCTTTAGGCTTCTACTGCAGCATTCTTACCTCTAGCATCATCAGCGCTTCAATCCCTGCCGCGCACTTCTTAGGATTCGTTTTCATGCCAGAGTCTCCCTACTACTACATCAAGGTGAAGAAGTATTATCAAGCGGAGAGGTCTCTTATGATTTTAAGAGGCGAATCTAATGTCGCCAAGGAAGTTGAGGTGCTAAAACAGGCAGTGAGAATGCAGGAAGAAATGGTGGAGCGCCCGAAGTTCACTGATCTCTTCACCGTTCCCAGCAACAGAAAAGCGGCTTTTATTTTCGTTATCCTTTGTACAGCGAACAAGGCAAGCGCCAAGGCTCCTTTAATGTCCTACACCAGATATATTTTCGAGGAAACGGGGAGTAGCATAAGCCCCGCCTTTTCAACCATACTTTATTGCCTCGTCGAACTCCTAGTTGTTATGTTCACTACCTACTTCATCATCGACCGGTTTGGAAAGAGGTTCTTGGCCATCATCTCTTCAGTTGGCTGCAGTGTCACGCTCTTCATCATGGGCTTGTATTTCTACCTGAAGGACTATCACAGTGACGTCATTCAGCAGCTGAACTGGCTACCATTAACAAATTTGATCGTCAACAACGTCCTGTTCAGCATAGGAATAAGCTTCACGCACATGTGTTATTTGAGTGAACTATTTCCAACGAACGTCAAGGCCAATGCGCTCTGTTTCGCCGAAATTTTGGCGGTTGCACAATCGGCAGTAACGACCAAGGGGTTTCAGATGTTGAACGATAGGTGCGGGACCCTGTCGATATCCTTTTTTAGTGCCGCTGTCATTGGTTGTATCGTGCTAGTTTTTATCGTCAAGTACGTTCCGGAAACTAAGGGGAAGACTTTGGAAGAAATTCAGTTGTTTTTGATGGAGAAGGAAGATATTAAACTGGGGAGTGGAGAAAGTTTAAGGCAGTTGGGAGAGTGATACATTTATTATTAGTTCAACGTTAATTTATTGATGTGTGTAAATAAAAATGTTTATTGTTTATTTGTATTGTTTTATTGGTGTCAAACTTGCCTACTGGACAATTTTCTTTTTATTGATCACAATCCAGTCCGTAGAGGAGGATAGTACGTAGGAGTTGATAAGCTCTGCTGTTTCATCATCTTCCAAACAGAGACGCACACTGGATCTTTCGACAGTTCAAGTCTATTATGATCAAGACAACAATGATATGTGAGTATAGGCCTCTTGGATAACGTAGGCCATCCATATTATAGACCAGGGGTCTCCAAACTACGGCCCGCGGGCCTAATCCGGCCCGCCAGTGTCATCAATCCGGCCCGCGACAGCCAATGATTTACTGTCATCAATCTGGCCCGCGACAGCCAATGATTACCTAATTGTTGTTACCATTGCTGTGATGAGTTGAAGAAGAAAACACAGAATAATAATTACTCGATTTTATTTACTTGCAAGGTAAAACTTAACGACAGAAATGATGACAAAGATAACTTAACTTGAGCATCTAAGTTTAAGCATATTAATAACTAACAAATAATTGAAATGAATCACAGTAAAACGAAAACACTAATGAGATTTATGTAATTGTGATTTTCCACCGACAATGCTTTGTAGTTGTGGATCAATTTTATTTGTACCAATTATCAAAAGAGATTTAAGATGCTCATCGGTTAATTGAGATCTGTAAACATTTCTTGTGTACTTCATCTTGGAAAACGTTTTCTCACACAAGATATACCAAAAACAGAAAACAACCCACGAGCAAATTTATGCAAATTATCAAATTGTTCCAGTGGAAGACTTATAAAATTCCAACAAAGATGAATGTTGATATTTGTTCTCAAGCATATCACTGCACCGTAAATCAATAATTTCCATTTGGACTTCCGAAGCCAGGGTTTCAATGTCAGAATCAAAAGGATTTTTGTCACGCACTTTGCGACTATCCTAGTCTAGAAATATAGTTAAGGACAGTCTTTCAATGTGCCAATCCTGTTAGACTTTACCAGAAGTCTGAAATTGTTTCTGCGTTTGTTTGGCAAAGTCTAAAGCGATGCCAATGGTAGGTTCTGGTCCGAATCCTGCATCGCCCTCCATTAGCAGCTTTATCACCTTGAACTTATCAGAGACAGTTGTTCAGTTTTTCTTTTGGTGAGACTTCTTTGGTAGTTCAATATCACTTTGGATGTTGCTCAGTGAAAGCCTAAGGCTTTCAGGTCCTCTTGGCTATCCGTTTGGCAATATCCTTCCTCAGCAGCTACATCACCTTGACGAGATCAGAGACAATTTTTGAGTCTTCGTATTGGGGATTCTTCTTTGACAGTTCATTAACTTGGATGTTGATCAGTGACAACCAATGACTTTGAAATCCGCTTGAAATTTCGATTGGCAGCGCTCTCCGTCAGCAGCTTCATCACCTTGACCAGATCAGAGACCATTCTCAAGACTTCCTATTGAGGAAACTTTTTTGACAGTTCAATTTCAACTTTATTTTGCTCAGTGACAGCCAAAGGCTTTCTGAGCCGCATTGCTGAGGATTGACAGCGCCCTTCCCCAGCAGCGTCATCACCTTGACCAGATCAGAGACAATTCTCAAGTCTTTCTTTCGAAGAAACTTCTTTGACAGTTCAAGTTCAACTTGATGTTGCTCAGTGACAGCCAAAGGCTTTCTGAGCCGCGTTGCTTAGGATTGGCAGCGCCCTTCCTCAGCAGCTTCATCACCTTGACCAGATCAAAGACAATTCTCAAGTCTTTCTATTGAGGAAACCTTTTTGACAGTTCAATGTGTACTTGATGTTGCTCAGTGGCAACCAAAGGCTTTCTGAGCCGCATTGCTGAGGATTGGCAGCGCCCTTCCTCAGTAGCTTCATCACCTTGACCAGATCAGAGACAATTCTCAAGTCTTTCTATTGAGGAAACATTTTTGACAGTTCAATTTCAACTTCATGTTGCTCAGTGACAGCCAAAGGCTTTCTGAGCCGCATTGCTGAGGATTGGCAGCGCCCTTCCTCAGCAGCTTCATCATCTTGACCAGATCAGAGACAATTCTCAAGTCTTTCTATTGAAGAAACTGTTTTGACAGTTCAAGTTCAACTTGATATCGCTCAGTGAAAGCCAAAGGCTTTCCGAGTTTTATTCTCAAAAACAATACACTAAATTATATTTTCCTCCTCTATTACTTCTTAATACACAATAATAATTGAAATGCAAAAAAAGCGTAAGTTTGCTTAGGTCACGCACTTTGCGACTATCCTAGTCTAGAAATATAGTTAAGGACAGAAATTGGCCCTTGGAACAAACTGAAAAAATCATTATGGTCCGAAGGCTTCAAAGTTTGGAGACCCCTGTTATAGACAGTTGTTTGAAGATATTCATCGAAGGATGTACTTTAAAGTCTTTTAATGTGCCAATCCTGTTAGATTTTACCAGAAGTCTGAAATTGTTTTTGCGTTTGTTTAGCAAAGCCTAAAGCGATGCCAATGGTAGGTTCTGGTCCGAATCCTGCATCGCTACATCACCTTGACCAGACCAGAGACAATTGTTGAGTCTTCATATTGAGGATTCTTCTTTGACAGTTCACCAACTTAGATGTTAATCAGTGTCAACGAATGACTTACAGATCCGGTTGACATCCCGATTGGCAGCGCTCTCTATCAGCAACTTCATCACGTTGACCAGATCAGAGAAAATTCTCAAGTCTTTCTATTGAGGAAACTTTTCTGACAGTTCAATTTCAACTTGATGTTGCTCAGTGACATCCAAAGGCTTTCTGAGCTATATTGCTGTGGATTGGCAGCGCCCTTCCTCAGCAGCTTCATCACCTTGGCCAGATCAGAGACAATTCTCAAGTCTTTCTCCTGAGAAAACCTTTTTGACAGTTCAATTTCAACTTGATGTTGCTCAGTGGCAACCGAAGGCTTTCTGAGCCGCATTGCTGAGGATTGACAGCGCCCTTCCTGAGCAGCTTCATCACCTTGACCAGATCAGAGACAATTCTCAAGTATTTCTATTGAAGAAACTTTTTTGGCAGTTCAATTTCAACTTGATGTTGCTCAGTGAAAGCCAAAGGCTTTCTGAGCCGCTCTGTTGAGGATTGGCAGCGGCCTTCCTAAGCAGCTTCATCAACTTGACCAGATTAGAGACAATTCTCAAGTCTTTCTATTGAGGAAACCTTTTTGACAGTTCAATTTCAACTTGATGTTGCTCAGTGGAAGCCAAAGGCTTTCTGAGTTTTATTCTCAAAAACAATACACTAAATTATATTTTCCACCTCTATTACTTATTACTTATTCTTTCTCATTTTATCCTTCCCATTATCCTAACCAACCCAACTAATATAAAATAATTCTTATGATGGATTTCAAATTATTCCACTCAAATATCATCATTATTATTTCTCAAAACTTGCACTGTATAAAAATTAAATTGAGATACCCAAATAGAACACTCGATATAAGCATTCATCGCTTAGCTATGTTCTATGCTTTCTTTGTGTTTACGATGTATGTTCTTTATAGTAGAATAGCAGATATTGTAGTAAAAATAAATAAAGGATTTGAACATTGATATATTTCACATGACATCTGTCGAGGACGTTCAAAAATAAACCTAACCTGAGAAAAAACTGCTAAAGATGGTGGCTCTTTTTTGAAAGGCAAAATTATTAGATTGAACGATGAATAGACTTTTCCTTGTGAAAAATACTTTGAATTCACATAGTAACTTATCGAGGTGAACTGAAATGTTAGTTCTTTTTACAACTCTCTAGAGCATTACAATTTTATTTTTCACAGGCTAGAGAAAGTGACAATATCCAAAAACAGTTCAATTATTTTCAATACACTTTACTCAATACGTAAACTAAGCCTGTTTGATTTACAGGCAACAAATAACGTTCATGTTTCCATATTTCCGAAACACTTAGCACATAATAAATGTTCTGTCTCATTTTCGTCAGAACTTTTGATCCGTTCCAACTGATATGTATACACTAAAACAACCTGAGAATATCAATATGTATTTTGCATTTGGAATATTTCATTGTTCCGAGCAATTCCAGATTTGAATTAAAACAAATAGCAACTGAGAACCTTTTGTATTGTCACTTTTAGTCCTCGCTCGAACTGAATCAACAGTATTATGAATTGCTTGACTGTGGGCATCGAATGATTTGCCTCTTTCACAAACCTAGTTGAAAATGATGTTTCAAAGTTGGTTTTGTAGGGGAAATGTCGTTCAATATGTTGCTGCTATTTCTGGTGAGTATTCTGTTTTTGTTACTTGATTATTTGTTTACTATTTTTTCACTACATCGAAAAGTATAATGGAATTGACCAATACTTGATGAAAATCCACTATAACGTATTCAAATAATATCACTGTTTTTTTTCAATTTGAAAAACAAATAATTGGACGTAGCCTACAGAACAAATAACAATTTGAGTAAATTCAATAAAAACGAAGTAGATAAAACTACAGTGTCGGATAGATCGTGATTATAAAATTTGTTTTGGGGTTTTTGTTCAAAATTTTATATAGGACGAATTGGAAGAACTTTTCCCGAAAGAATAAAAAGTATGTTTTGTACAATTGTCAATAAAAGTGACATTTTTAATGGTTGAAATTCAATTCTTTCAGCAATAACCTTTTTATAAGAAAAAGATTGATTGATGTAACCCTCAGCTACTGTTGCAGACTTCCATTCTCCGTGCTTCTCAATATCCGCTATATTTGCTCCTGATTCTGCTAGCAAAGAAGCAGAAGACCTTCTGAAACAGTGACCTGTATATTCCTTTGATTCCGGGAGGTTCAGAAACTCAGCAATGCTAGAGGGCATTTTACCAAACGTGGTTATACCAACTGGGTTGGCACTGCATTTATAATTTGAATATTAAAAAAAAACGTTGATGATTGATAACAGAAAGGCGTAATGACACGTATTTATTAAAATAGTCAAGATTTTTTACAACAACACAAAACGAACGACCTATTTTCGTTTTTGTATTTGGAATTTGAACATCATAATATCTACTATTGATAAATGGCACAGCTCTTCACGCCGGCAGGCTCCATATGTTCCGGAAATAGTAGCAACTTTTATCATCAAGTATTTTTCATCTGGCGCCTCATTCATAAACCTCTGGACTTGTTCAATCGTAAGAGTTTTTTAGGCCTATAACTTTCATTTTTCCGCTTTAAGAATGCTATTAACTTGAAATATTTGCTTGCAGTAACACCATTTTGTGTGATATTAGCATGAAAGGTTTATTTTTAGAACAGTCCATGCGGTTTTTGGGCTTCCTTCTATCTGCAGTGCAATCTTCCTGATACTATTTGAAGGATCTTCTTCTATCGCATCAAGTACCTATAGTTTTTTCTAGTTCAGGCGTCGTTACAGTTACTGGTCTTCCACCACCTGCATTTTCATTGAAACTACCAGCTTCACATAATCTTGCATGAAGCGTACTGAATGTTTCAGCACATGTGCCATCCTATGAATCAACTACCTGCAAAACATTCATCTTGGGTGAAAATCCTGAGGCAGTAGAGTTTAGAACCGCTGTAAGTGGTATGGGTATAGAAGGTTTCTTTTTAGAACTGTCCATGTGGTTTTTGGGCTGCCTTCCATATGCAATGCAATCTTCCTGGTACTATTTGAAGGATCTTCTTCTATCGCATCTAGTACAGCTTCTTCTAGTTTAGGCGTCGTTACAGTTTCGGGTCTTTCCCCACCTGCATTTTTATTAAAACTCACAGCTTCACATAATCTTGCATGAAGCGTACTGAATGTTTCAGCACATGTGCCATCCTATGAATCAACTACCTGCAAAACATTCATCTTGGGTGAAAATCCTGAGGCAGTAGAGTTTAGAACCGCTGTATGTGGTATGGGTATAGAAGGTTTCTTTTTAGAACTGTCCATGTGGTTTTTGGGCTGACTTCCAGCTGCAGTGCAATCTTCCTGGTACTATTTGAAGGATCTTCTTCTATCGCATCTAGTATAGCATCTTCTATTTCAGGCGTTGTTACAGTTTCTGGTCTTCCACCACTTGCATTTTTATTAAAACTCACAGCTTCACATAAACTTGCATGTAGCGTACTAAATGTTTTAGCACATATACTCACTCTGTTTAAATATCTGTCCTGGTAAATTATCTATGCTTCCTCCACATTTCAATTTGTTAATCCATAAATAAAGTGCATGTCAGCCATTTCAGCGTCAGTAAAATTAGTCATGATAGAATAACTGTCACAACACTATCACTATCAGCTGATCTCCAAAAGCAGGTGTTCATGGTATGCAAAGTGGTGAAAAAATTGTATTTTTAGTCGATCAATCTAAAAAAATTAAAACTACAATAAGTCAGTGGCGTACTTCCTAATATTATTGGTTGTGGTACCCACTAAGACTCTGCTTGACCTAATAATTTCAATCTAGTTAGGGCTAACTGTAGAAAATTTCAACCGAATCAGTATAAGGATATTTATAATGTTTTAAAAATACAGTTTTTTCAAACTTCAATGCCCTGTGTCTCAGAAACGACGTTTGCTCATAGGAACTTTTTGTCTTGAAACGATCTAACGAATCTCTCTGAAGTTTCTTTTCTCCATCATATTATGTAAATTGGATACAAACCTGACATTTTTCTACCTAATAAACATCGGGGTGGTACTACCAATGCTCTTACTCATCTAGTCCATAATAATTCGCTTTGACCAAACTGTATTTTTTTTTGTGATGCACTATTTGGAACCTTTGGTATAGTAATGAATATTACTGGAGTTTTTCGCCAACACTAAATCGTTATTTCAACACCTCGACACGTGTTTCGATCACCAAGTCATCATCTTCAAGAGGAAGATCAAATCGTCAAGAGGAAGATCAAATCTTCAAGACGAAGATCAAATCTACCTCTTGAAGATGATCACTTGGTGATCGAGGTGTTAAAATAACGGTTTGGTGTTGGGACAAAACTCCAGTAATACTCGTATCTTTTTTATTGAATTTTCAGGTGCCCTCTCAATAGCAAGTTATGGCATGAACTCAACATGGATGTCACCGTTTCTCCCTTATCTACTCTCCAAATCGTCCATTATCCCCATGAACAGCGATGAAGCCGCATGGTGCGCCATAGCTCCTCTAATCGGCTGCATATTCGGGGCTCTCATAGGTGCTAACCTAACTGACAGAATAGGAAGAAAGTACACCATCCTGATCATGGCGCCGGTAGTATTCATCTGCCAAATCGGCATCGGTTACGCCACCGACGTTTGGTATCTGTTTGCATTGAGAATGACAATAGGAGTGACGGACGGGGCGTGTCTGACAGCGATGCCTATGTACGTCGGCGAGATCGCTTCTCCAGACAAAAGGGGATTTCTTTCGTCGCTGGTTTGCCTGTTTTTCCTCTGCGGTGCCTTGCTGATAAACACTCTCGGATCGTTCTTCAGCATTTGGACGTGCAGCATCGTGGGTGCTTGTATTCCAGCTGTGCACTTCATAGGTTTTATTTTCATGCCCGAGTCTCCTCATTTTTACGTCAAGGTAAAGGAGTACCAGAAAGCGGAGAGGTCACTGAGGATCTTCAGAGGTGACTCAAATGTCGCCAAGGAACTGGAGATGCTCAAAGATTCAGTGCGACTTCAAGAAGAGATTCCCAAGTTCACCGATCTGTTTACGGTGCCTAGCAATCGAAAGGCCACTGGAATTTACGTTATTTTATCCCTGGCTGTGAGAGCAACTGCCAAAGCTCCTTTTTCGTCCTACACTAGATTGGTATTTGAGGAATCCGAAAGCAGTTTGAGCCCAATAGCTTCCACCATCGCCTGCTGTGCTGTTGAACTACTCGTAGTGATGTTCACGACCTATTTCATCATCGACCGCTTTGGCAAGAGGTTTCTGGCAATAATTTCCCTTGCTGGGTGTGGTGTCGCCCTCTGTGTCATGGGACTGTATTTCTACCTGAAGGACTACCACCGGGACGCCCTTCCGTACCTGAACTGGCTTCCATTAACTACTTTGGTCTTTTACACCGTTTTGCATAGTATCGGCATTTCCTACGCCCACATGTGCTATTTGAGCGAGCTCTTTCCTACGAATGTCAAGGCTAATGCGCTCTGTTTGGCAGAAATTTTAATGGTGTCCACTGGAGCTATATCGACCAAGATGTTCCAGTTGATGAATGACGGATTCGGGACCATGTGGGTGTCTTTCTTCTGCTTCACAGGTTTCTGTGCGGTTAATTTGTTTTTCATCGTGAAGTATGTACCAGAAACTAGAGGGAAGAGTTTGGATGAGATTCAAATGTTTTTGAAGGGTGAGCAGGAACAGACTAATCAGTTTAAGGCATAAAGTGCTGTGACATATTTTGATTTATGTGCGTGTATATATGTAAAATATAACATACCTAAGTAAAAGTTAAAAACAGCAAAATTGAATTTCTTAAGTCACTACGAATTCCAAACAGATCATCAGTCAGAGGTAGTTGTTTGTTTAGAAGAGAAAGAATGAATTTTTGTTGAATGTTGAGAAATTACATTTCCATTGTTTGAAAGAAACCTTTTACTTGACAACATGGACATGATAATATGGACTGGCCGTGACCTCACTTCTACATATATTCCACCTGCGATTCACTCGTCTTGGCTACTGCGCCATAGCCTCATGTGACAAATCAAATCCCTGAATGTTTACAATGGAGATATGCAACACGTAAAACGGCACGACGGTTCTGACATTCAGTGTATCAGTGACGTAATTGCCAAGACGTGAATCTCTTCATCTTTATTTGGTTGTCGAAGTGAATGTTCTCTGTTCAATGATCAGTCCATATTATGACGTCTCTACTTGACAGGCTGGAAGTTTGGATGATATTTGAAATAAATATGAAAAAATAAATAGTGAAATTTGATGCGACTATTGAAGATGTGTGAAATAAAGATTGTATAATAGTTCAAAATGAAAAGTTGGCTTGGAAGGGGTATGTTTTTAGGATAGACTAGTTTGTGTCTTTCTACATTCCTATTTTCATATAAAAAGTTAAAAACCAAAAACCTTTATGAACAATCTCCGTTACCTCGATCCAGTGGTTTTTAGTAAAGTCAACCCTAGTCAGTAATATCAATTGAATCAGTCATTTCCAGAATATTTCAAAATGAAGTTTCGTATCTTCCCCTTTCATTACTTTTTTCCTAACCAAGCGACTTAGACGTTGAATAGTATTATAGTCTGATTGATGTTTCTGACACCCACCCCTTTCAAAGATTTTCTGAAGTTAGGAATCACACGTTAAAAGGTAAGACCTCGTTAGTCCTTAGCTCACACAAGTTTCTCAACTTCTAAGAGTTGTCGTTCGTATGGGGACGACAGCTGATTAACGGAAAAACAGATTTAAAACAGTATAACAGAATATTCTCCTTAAATATTTTTTAGAAAAAACAAAATTTTCATGGATCTCACTAAATAACTCAAAAAAAATGAAAAGGCAATTTTAACTCGCTTCAAAGAGAAACCTTTGAATTCCAGTATTTTTGAATATTTCCTGAACTCGAGTTTTTTACATGAAAGTTCAGGAATTTTCTTGAAAGCCTTCATATTTTTCATTATAAAAATCTCTTTATCATTGCCTGAAATATTTCGAGCAACTGCTAGGCTGGCTTTTCTGAAAGAAACAGCAGCAGTTATATACATTTTTCGAAATTTTCAATTATTTAAATAATTGAGGTTTAGTTGAAGTACACAAACACCATAGTAAATTTGTATTCCCTAATGTATTATCAGTATATGATATTACGAGTATCGATTACCTATCGTATAGCCACAGAATATCATTTGAGATTACCAACAGTGCCAACAACTTAAATAAAAATTACTTCCATGATGCCAACTTTCAGAAACATCACCTCACTTATTGTTTGAAAAGAAAGTGACAATCAGGAGGTATTAATCGTGTGACTTTGTACAGTTCCGAAGGACCAATAATTGTTTCGGATCAATTTTCTAACTTAACCTGTCCTGTATTTTTAGCCTTCCGCATGACTCGATCAAAAATAAATTGGGTGGACATTTATAATAACTGAGACCATTTAGAATCTGGAGAGTGCCTGGAAAAAAAGTCCGGACCAAAAAGGTCTGAAAAGAAAGTGTAACTTTCTGCTTGTAGATCAATACTTCTGAATAAGTTAGGTTAGGCGACATGTTGGCATGGCAAATGGTACGGCATCATTGGTCTTTCTGGGAACAAGTTTGAGCCAAACTACAATAGAACCAATATGCAAATACTTACTTGTGCCAAGCACTCCAGTGTTCTCGATTGTCTTGAACAATATCTGCTCCTTGAGTAGGCATTGTTATATAAGAAATGGATACAATGAAAGCAGCTCCCAACGGCCAGAATGCGTGTAACAATCCCACATATCTAAGGCGAATTTTACTGTGGCACATTTCCATTAGATAACTGAAGCTTAGAGGGAATGCACCAGAAACGCCTAGTCCTGAACAAAATCTGAAAATAGTAATAATAATAATAATAATCTGTATTTATTAGAACAGCATAGAAAACGGAACAAATGTGTTTTGTATTCATTTATACATAATTACTGACTTAAAAAGGGAAGTTCAGTAGCCCACTACGTATAACCTAGTTGAGGTCCTGCTCAACCACTTAACCTTCTACCCTTCTATTACTAGATACTTGGATGCCATGTATTCGATGAGATTTCTAATTGCACTAACTTAACCTACCTTATACTAACTTGACTCACAAGATTCTCCTTGTTTACACTCATTTACAAGACCTCTAATACAAAAGTAACTGAATGTTAATATGTTTGTTCGTTTGCTCCAAGGGAATTTGATTAATGATAGTGTAAACTTCAACAAATTAAAACTACATGGTTCAGATGTGATTGTAAAATCAATGGGGAAGCAAACTGTCAATTTGTTTGACATAGAGGGCGCTAAGTGTTTGTCATCAAATGATATGGAAACATTTGTAATTTTTCGTTTTTATTCAGAGAAATGGGCCGTTGTGCTTCTTTCGGGTGCAAAGAAATGGGAGTTTATAAGTTTCCTGAAGAAACTGTTATGAGAAGAAAATGGGAAAAATCTTTGAGGTTAGTAAACTACAAATGTACTGATCATTCTAGGTTATGTGGTGAACATTTCAAAGATCTTGATTTTGAGACTACTTCAAAGACAACTGGTAAGTAGCATTCTTTCTACTTACTTATATGTGATATCAATTTTATAAAATTTTATAGGGTTTTCACTCCAAAAAATTTTTTTTGAAAAATCAGCTGTACCTTCCATATTTCCCTGTACTTCGAATTCTATCAGTCCACGGATGTTGAGATTGGAAAAAAAGGAATGCTAAACGTGATTTGAAGTCAGCTAGTAGTGAATCATCTGAAATTTTCAAAGATAAAGATAACCAGCTTCCTCTCAATGGTAAGTATCCAATAAATAAATTCATTATATTGACTGCTCAACCACCACTATATTCCATTTGATTTTCAGATATAAATTATCTAGACCTCCAACAAGAAATTGCCTCAGAAGTTACTTTCCACCCCGAGGAAGATAATCCTGATAAGGAAAGCCACCTAATCAGCCAGTCCACACAAACACCAACTTTATTCAGATTATATTCCAATGATGAATTTTTAATGAACAAAAAATCTGTTCCTTATTATACATGTCTCTCTTGAGGGATATTCTCGAAATTGAAATGTCTATCATTACTATCATAAGCCTCTAATCTGAAAACAAAATTGAACCTTAAAACTTGCATGTTTTTGAGGTTAGAATAATGTTTATTGATTATTAGTGAAAAAAACACAAAATATGTCTTTTTTTCTCATTAATATATTTCTTGGGAGCAAATTGAATGTAAAAAACTGTCTTTATAATGAGAGAGTTGTTCAAATATGAAAAATTATGAACCTTTCCACGAGATCAGCTTTCTTCCTCCTAGGATTACACCTCTCCTCTGCAACTCCTCCTTCAACTGAGCGATACGCCATGTAGAATACATATTGAATTGCAAGCAATTTAAATAAGAAACTTTCAAATAAATCAATAAATAACGGTGGAAACTTTGACAGCTAATGACCAATGTGACAAACACTCAGCGCACTCTGCCGGATGAGTTTCCCGTAATCATCCCCATTAGAAGAGTTGAGAAATTCTATGTTAGAACATTAAACGACATTTTATGGTTACTTTTATAACAAACAGTTTGAAAAAATATCACGATGATTTTCATTATATCCACATGAACATAATGAAGATCGTTCACGTTGGGATACAGGAAAATTTAAATTTTTTTCGTGCGGCGCCCAACGCGGGGCTGAACGGAATTCGCTACTATGAATAGTGAAAATGAAGAAGGTAGAATTGAAGCAAATAGTTCGCCTGGACTGGTCTGAATTATATCTCGGAAAAAAGTCCAAACGAATCTAAGCAGAAAATCTTCCCAGCAAAATAGAAAATTTTAACAAAAAATGAATTCTCACAATCAAGATCATTGATTCAAAATTTTATCAATTCAAAATGGCCATGCTAACTTTTCAATGTTTCTTTCTCAAACAATAATTGCAATAAATCTGGGGAAAATAATCCCTTGGCCAGGCATAAGAATGTTCTAAGGAGGACATGCAGATGAACCGAAATATTATTGAAATGTTTACCTTGCCGTCATGAATGTTCCATACGTTGGCATCACTGAGGCGACCGTAGAAAACAATGCTGTTACTGATAAAGCACTAATTAGAGCTCTTCTTCTTCCTAGATGATCTCCTAGGATTCCCCAAGCCAAGGATCCTCCTGCCATAGCAAGAAGGGTAATTGATCCTGAAAATTATATATTTATTACCCATGAATCAAAAATTAACAAAAGCTGTCCGTTTCATAATTTTTGTATATAATTTTATTCTGGTTACCTTAATTGAATATTAATCTCAACAACTTCCGCGTTTTTTTTTAGAAAAAGAAGATTCACTCTCTTACCTAGCCATTTCTTCTTCTCTTCTCCGATACAAAGTTGCAACTCAGCAGCAGGTAAAATAAATCCCAAAATCGTCAGCTCAGAGCAATCAGCTGCTAGCCCGAGTCCCAAGACACAAGCCAGAATGAATTGTGCTTTTCCAACAGTCGTTTGAGATAAGGCATCTTCGTGGAACGACACCAGAGCCCCCCTGTTCTGAGATTCAGCTCCAACGTCTACGATAGGCGAGAACGACGCTGAAAAAGTGTTTGATTTTAATCAATGAATGCTATTTTTGTTGAATGTTGTTTCATCGATGAGTAAAGGCGCTATGAGAGTTCGAGAACCGAAGTGGCCGGTTTCTGCATAAGAAATCTAAGCTCAATTTCGCAAAATTCAGGACTTCCGAGTGGAACCTTGTGGAACACCAAACTCGGGGTAGGTGTGATGTGGGTAATAGTGAGACGAACAGAAATATGTGCGTGCATATGTGAGAAAACGGGGACTTCAAGGACGACAAGAGAAATAAACAAAGATTGCGGTATGCCAAAAAGGCATCAAGCAGTATTTTTATCAATGATAGTCGTCTCACTCTTACAAACATCAACTATTAATAACGATTATGCATTTTGACATGCAGCTATGTTTGTTTGTTCTTTGTCGATAATTTCAACATTCTTTTTCTTTATTTTGATATGCTGCACGTCACGATCCGATTATCATTAATGAAGATACTGCTTAATGCCTTTTGACATGCCGTCATTTTTGCTTTTTCTTCAATCCACATTCAATTTATTGTCACATTAATTTTTTATTCAAATAAACGTGAGTTCCATAAATTTACATGATTTCCAATGTATTTGTGATGTAGTTTTCATTAATTTCATATGTAATTCTGAAAAAGATCACAAAGATCACAATCAAGTAGTGCATGATGTAAAATCACATGTATATCCACAGTTTTAAATTAACATTGTTATTAATTGTAAATTTACAGAAATAATCTTTACAGTGTGGCCTAAATCTACAGGTTTTTATGCCAGACATTTCGTCGAAAGTAATATAAATCATATTTAAAAATTTGTATTTTGTCCAACTATGGATTGAGTTGAATCGATATGAAATTAATTTCAATTCATTACTCCAGCTGTTGAACTTATCAACTCATAAACCAATACAGTTTGAATCTTTTGAACTATTGGAAGGTTTCAATTTAAGGTTCAGGTTTTAAAAGATTTCAGAATTTAAGCTTTACATTAGGGTTTTGAATTCGACGGATTCCAATTATTTTTCGTTTTGAAAGTTCAAGGTCTTTATTTTTCATTGTTATTTCTTTCAGAAAGCTTTGCTTTCAATTGATTTCTGTAGTGCAAGCATAGTTTTGATAAAATGTATATGCTTTATATATTATAGAGTTTAAAGAAACGTATGAAAGCAATATAACTGAACCCTCTTAAACCGTATGAACTATTTGATGGTTTCTGTTTGATGTTCACGTTTCAAAATATGTATCTTTTACACATTCAAGAGTTCGAAAAATGTATTGAATCAACCCTCTAAAACCTTTGAAACTTTTTTGAAGGTTTAAGGTTCAGGTTTTAAATAGTTTTCAATGGTTTCAGAATTTAAGCTTTATATTAGTGTTTGAACATGTCGAGTCACAATTCAATATAACTAAACCCTCTTGAACTTCTTGAACTATTTAAAAGTTTCAGTTCAAGGTTTAGATTTTTAAGGTATATGCTTTATACGTTTTAGAGTTCAGGGTGAAATATATATATATCAATTCAATACAACTCAACCCTCTGGAACCTTATTTAACCATTCAAAGGTTTCAGTTCAAGGTTCAGGTTTTAAATAGTTTCAGGATGTAAGCTTTATATTAGCGTTTGAGCTTATAGACTCACAAATCAATACAACTGAACTATCTTGAACCTTTTGAACTATTTGAGAGTTTCAGTTTAAGGTTCAGATTTTTAAGGTATATGCTTTATTCGTTTTTGAGTTCAAGGTGAGAAATGTAATAATTCGATACAACTTAACCCTCTGAAACCTTATTTAACCATTCGAAGGTTTCAGTTTAAGGTTCAGGTTTTAAATGGTTTCGGGTTGCGTTTGAACTTGTCGACTCACAAATCAATTCAACTGAACTATCTTGAACCTTTTGAACTATTTGATGGTTGCAGTTCAAGGTTAGTGTTTCGAAGGTGTATGCTTTATATATTTTAGAGTTTTGATTCGTATCAATTATTTATAATCTTAACACATGATCGCGTGTTAAAAAAGTTATTATTAGTCACTACATGCAAAAACCACGGAATACCAACTGAGTATTCGAATCTACCACAGAAATAATGTCCTTATAATGGAAACATCATGCTCTACTGATTTGCAGGCACTGTTAAGGATCATAGCACTTGATATTTAGAAACTACAAGGGTTATACTCATGCAAACATTAGAAAGTAAGTATATAAGGTCAAAGTGTTTCTGTTGATTCAAAAATAGATCTTTCATTAAGAGACATAGTCGTATCAATATTTTTCTCTATAATTTATCATTTCTGACCAAGATTTTTTTTGTGATTCGTGGATCTATCAGAGTTATAGTAACTGAACGTATCACAGATTGGGCATCAAATTCTTAGTCTCAATATCATTTTGTGACGTTTACATCATGAATGCACAACCTTCTCAAATGAACACACCGTATATTGATAAATGGATACGAGAAAAAAATCATACTTGGCATGCAGAACGAGGGCAACTGAAGCAACATACGTCGGTTGTTTGTCGAGCGATTTTGGGGGGTATCCAAGGGGGGCACCAAACATGTTGACTCCTCACACATTGTTTATTCCAAAATCAATGTGAGGGCCTAATTTCCGATTGGTCCATTGAGCGATTATGTCCTGAGAACAAAAATTACAAATTGAGAAATAGCGGGACTAAGAGGAGAACCCCAAGGTTGAGTGTGGGGGCTGCTACCATTATCTGTAGGATATTGAATGATCAGCTCAACGGATTTATGTATAATAACTATAATAGGCGGTGATGATAATAAGAGAGAATTATATACAATAAAAAAGGAAAACAATCCAATTCAAATGAAAATTGGGTGTTGATAGGTAAAAAAATGCATGCATATTGATAATTTCACTCATTGATGTACTCAAAAATATAGAATACTCCTGTATTTGTTTTCATTCATTCCAGTAGTTGCCAAGCTTACTGCATAATGATTTGATATCCATTGGGTGTATTAATGTATCATAACTTGTGACGTAATTTTTTGGCCAAAAACAACACCGTTATCATGCCTCAGCAACCGTATTCAGCAGATTTGGCACCCTGCGACTTTTTCCTGTACCCGACGATTAGGGAGATTGGCAAAAACGCCGACACACGTGTAATATATCTGAGGGGAACTACTTAGAAGGGGACAGGCAGTGTTGATTTCGTGGCTGTCAATTTTATCGCTGTCATTATTAACGCTCTTTGTTTTGGTGGCCTGACCTTCAATTTTTTCATCATCATCTAGTTCCCTTTCGAAATTGTTGTATTAATAAATGAAGTTACTAGCAATATGTTTTTTCAGTTCTAGTTTTCCGACAAGTATAACTCACACAAGTTTCTGAATGGGTTTTTTTTTATTTCTGGTTGTGTTGCTTGGTGTATTAATTTTATTTTTCTAATATTCCTGTCTTTGAAATATTTCTCTATGTTCTGGAACACTTCGAAGCATTTAAGGTTTTCGTTGATCAGTTTTTAGGCCAATAGAGTCATCCATCTTCTCTCATAATTGTTTTTTTTCTCTGACGATTTGTGGAATATTTTACTTTCATTTAGTCACATTGTCTATACTATCCCTTAGATCACTACATATTTTAAATACATTTTTCGAAAAAAGCTTTCCTTCTCATCCATTTTTTTCTAAAAATATAGTGCTAGTTGAGAATATAAGTTATATGCACTGTGAATTTTTTCAAATTTTCCTACAAATCGGGGTTATTTTCTTCAATAACCACAACAAACAGCATGGTTCACTGTATTAGAACGAATTGCTTCAAAACTCACCCTAAATTATACACTTTCGTCACCACTAAACCGCTAAAGAAAAATAAGAACTTTATTCAGAAGGGACAGTAAACTTAAATGCGTCTTTTTCACGGCACAAAAAAATATTTCGCACTTCTTGGTCGTATACCGTAGAACGATGTTTTTATTACCGAAATGATGAAGCTGAAACACAATTCAGTAGTCACGCTAGCTACCCCATTCACTGGTCACATCGATTTGAAACGGTGGAAAATCAATAAGAGCAAGCAGAGTCGTAATAGTCCAGGGTGTTTAAAGTTTCCTGCTCATAAAATTACAGCCCGCTTATTTTTCCTCAATCGCAAGATTTCATTCACCTTGACATACTTGTTCTTGTGGGACAAATTTTGAAACTGAATTTTGAACCGGGTTTCGTCGTTGTGACAACGTGCCGTTAAATAAACGCCGCCATTTCAATTTCAACATGGCGACTGCTATAAAATGACGATTTATCATTTTCACGATATGCCCCACAATATGAGTGTCAAATGAAACGGTTTTGCTGAGCGAAATACTTGAAACAAAATGATGTCATTTTCAATTCAATATGGCGGATGTCGCAAAATGGAGACTCATCATTTACATAGTAGTAGTACTCGTGTTCGGTCATAGGAGGGGTTAAAAATGGAGCTGACTTTAGACAAGTGGGTACTTGAGGTGAGGAAAATGCCGAAACGTCATTGAAGGAAAATGAATTTGAGGGTAGTTCTCAAATTCAACAGAAGGTTTCTGGTGGATTGCTTTAACCAATAGAAACGCGCTGACATTTCGAATTGACCAGTAGATGAATCCATCAATTCCTGTCTCCATGAATTTCTTTATTGTTGATGGTTTTTCGACTTTTTTGGGTTTCTTATACTGAAATGGTATAAGGATTCAGTTATATAACAACAGTGACTAAGCAATCTGTTTCGAATAAATAAATGCATCCACTTGACCGAATGACCATGTGGCAAGTACTTCAGATGCACTATGCCATGGTTATCACAGTCAATATTGAGCAAAACTTTGACTGTTGATTTACCTTAGCGTGATTTTTTTGTCTTAGCTTTCCTAGGCTCTTCCATTGGGATGATTGGACTTGGGTTTCGATGTCATAACTAAATACAAATAATTCGTATGAACCGTTCTAGGTAAGTCTGGATAGCCGTTGACGTCACTCAACCATTCTTGAGCGATGCTCAGGCGACTTGAGTTCATATTTTCCTAAATACGGTCCTGTTTTTCTCTCTTCATTAACGCAATACAAATAATTGTACTTGTGTTCGCATATAACTAGCCGTATACAAAATGTCTCAAAATCGGAATGGATATAAATCGTATATGTATGTATGATTTGAAAATTAACTAGTTTGATTTACATTTATAGCGACATCTACTACAGTATTTATACAAAATTTTGGGTATCTTCGTTGTTTGAAGAGAAATTCAAACAACGGTTTCTTTTCTAGTTGTCACACAGTGACACCTATGAAAAAATAATCGAAACTGTAACAAAAGCTCACAGAATACTGCCCGAATGACGCGAACTTCACTGTTCGATTCATAGATGCCGCAATGCACACTGTGATGCAATATTTCCTATCCTTGCTTGTCCACATATCCGATTATTAACGCAAGATAACTAACAAGGTCATCTCAGTTTCAGTTTGTTGTGAGTGTTAAACAGTGAATGACTATATAGTTAGTGAGAGAGTGTTCATTTTTAATTACGCGATACGGAGTGCAGAAAAATAACGACAATATGAGGCTGTCGCCGAAACATTTTCAGAGCATGTCGAAAATGCTCGACTTTTATTCCCAGTTCAACCCTTCGCCCCTGTCTATAAAAAAATTCATCGATTTCGGTAAGTGCTGAATTCAAGAGGGAGATACCTATGTAAGGGGGTTGGACTAACTTTATAATTATACATATGCAATCGGTGATTGTTGGTTAAACATTCATTATAAAGATGTCAAAATCAATATGCTTCCTGTGACAGTTTTGAATCCTTGTTGGAAATGTAAACATTCCGAAACAAGATGAAAATCTGAAGGGTGTTTCTATTGACGTCAGGTTTTCCATTCATAGGTTTGTTAGTTTGTGATGAATATTTTATGATTTTGTTTGATATGATGTAATTGGGTCATTCGTTTTTTATGATTGCAATCTAAATTTGGTGTTTGGCGGTATGGCCAAATTAAAAATCGTGTTTGTAGTAGTCAGGGCCGTCCCACAGATAAATTATTCGACCTACTGCGAGGTGGAGGAGAGAACGTTGCTATTTCATTTTTATTGCTTTAACATTCGTAACTTCCGGCATATCCAGCAAAGAAGACCTTGATTTTGATAATTACTCTTTCTGTTTATGAGTTTATTACTGTAGGCCAATGCAAATAATTTTCAAAAATTAAACTAAGGCATGAAAATAGAAATGGATAATGGATGAATTTCAATAATGGAAAATGGTTTTTCACGGTGAACAATGTTTTTTACTTTTATTTGTAACAAATGTTACTGCAGTTTCGTCCTATAAAGACATTTTCAAACAATTACAATGAACTGTTTATTTACAACCCAAATTTTACCATGAAATGGCTAGAACCGTCTTTGTTGGTTTTGATTTCTTCTCCCACTTTTTTCATTTTCTCAAAATTGAGCGGGTACTTTTCTTTTTTTGGTCCAAAGTACTCTGTAAATTTTTGAACCCAAGTATTCACTTGAATACTTCAGTTGGGCTGCTTGTATTATTCAATATAGTTTGCCTTCGAGGGTGCCACAAGAATATAGTCTTTAGCCTCAAAATAATCCCCAGTGTTGACGATTACCTCTTTATCGGCGCAAACATTTTTTTCCAGCGATTATTCTTTTAAGTAAGAACTGGAAAAAGTCGCTGGGGGCAGATCTTGAGAATACGGTGGATACGGACGCATTTCAAAACCCAAATAATGCAATTTTGCCATCGTTTTCATTGACTTACATTCCACTTGGCATTCCTGGCATTGATATTGAGACTGGCAGACATTCTCAAACATAGTGCTCGCTATAATGAGAGTGAGTTGTCATGTCACCAGAATTGGACACGTAATTTTCATCAATATATAGATGAAATCTTTCCTAATAGCTAGATCGATAGAAGGACTAGTGAGGTGGCCCGCACGGTTACCCGATATAGGTTCGATAGATTTTTGTGAAGCCGCTTGAGGGCTACGAGTTGAGAAACCCCACCAGCGTATCCAGATCATTAACGTCATCGATTTACTTTGGAATGTGTGGATATTACACCGGAAAGGTTTTGAAACGTCCGAAAACAATTGTTGAAGGAATAAGTTAGCGAGAAATTGAACTTTCGAATTTTATTGTTTTTGTTAGTTCAGAACCTTAAAGCTATGCTTAGAAAGAACGACCCTACACAAATGGCATCATAAGAATTTCGGTTAAAAGTTTATAAAAAATTAACTTCCTCTGTTTATTGACTCATCTATGGAATCAATTAGTAATACATTGTTTAGTGTTTTTCTTTCTTCTAGATTATTTATCGTTTGTTTTTGTCCGTTATTTCCATTTTCTATATTTTGTCTTCGTTTATCCTATCCAGTAAACCAATAGAAGATGAAGAATACCATCTAATTATTATGAAGTATACTCCAAATTATGAGTTTTTCATTGAAATATGTTGGACAAACTGGACTTGAAACTGAATATTGTTTTGAAGATCATCGGGAGCATATTTTCTTTCGTAGAACAGGGAAAACAGTTATGAATGTATGTCGAGATATTAAAAGATAATACAAATTTCCTGAACCCAAGTGATAATCCGAGTTTTTTCCTAGCTCGCAGAATTTTCATTCATTAATGTTGTGGAATTCGACTCTCCGACATTGACACAGCCAACGTTCAATTTCTTATTTTCTAAAGTAATATTAATATCCACTGACGGGATAGAAGTGCACCTGTTGACACATAGTTGGGAATGATGTGTTGGCAAAATACGCAGCGCTTTTTCCATTTGGCTAATCCTAAACGCGAGCAAAGTCCAGAACTGTCCGGAAATATTTCATTTCGTAATTAATCTCGTGATACTTTCATCAATTATCGGTGGTGGGCTCGTCTGCACAGAAGCGGACTCGGGGACAGAATTTATCCGTAGTTGATAATAATAAATTTGATGTTTTTGGTTTTATTAACCGTGGTTTGCAGCTTTTTGTGCCTAACATTTCGTACATCGGAGTATATATATATCCGAGAGTAGGTAATATGATATATACTTACATTCATTAATATCAACTACATGAACTTCAAACTGTGATTAATTGCGTTGTCATCTTTATAAATTCAAAAGTGGAGACCTACACAAATCTGTTTGTTCGTTAAGGGTTCTATATTTTGAGTTTTTAATTGATTTATTAATTTCCATGGCTTCCAACAAATTAATTTTCCTTCCTTTACTACATGAATGTAAGATTTTAAGGTTTTCCTTACTTATTTTGTAGTTTGTTTCTTGTAGATGTTCGTACATAGAAGATTTGTTTCTAATTCACATATTGGCAACAGCGCCTATATATCAAGTTGAAATAATTTATACGTACCTAGATATTCTACTTTAAAAAAGAAAATTATCTTTATAAATCAACATTTAAGGCAAAATATAAATTATAGTTCAATACCACCTCCGCAATCCACATAAACAACAGTTGTTTTGTTATTTACTTTGAAAACAAAACAGAAAACAAAACAAAACACGCGACTCGGACTAATTTTTCTCTGTGTGGTGGAATTCGAATTTTGTGGTTATTTTAGAAACTAAAACAATATTTTGTTTTCGTTTTTGAAAACGAAACTAATCGAGCGAGTCCGCTTGGTGGAATCTGCCTTAAGAAAAGCCTACATTCACTTCTCTAACTGTTATGTTCAGGAAGGAACAATATCAGATGTCGGAAAGTGGAAAATGGGGAATGTTCCTCAATTTGGGTTAATACAGCAAATGCAAGTTTGAACAAAATGAAGTTGAGTTCTATTTATGGGTTTTTCAAATTCACTTCGAAAAATATTCAAATTGATGTTTGAAATGTTGGGTTTTAATTTTTAAAGGGATTTGTTTCTAATTCACATATTGGCAACAGCGCCTAGAATGCTAGATCGGAGTTCAGGTAAGTAGTATGCTAGAAGAAGAAGAATCATGTCAATAGTGTCAAATCTGTCAATACGTCCATTTTTATTATGATTTCATTCATTTAAAACTAGGTTATAGTTCAATGCCACCTCCACAAGCCACATAAACAACAGTTGTTTTGTTATTTATTTATATAGAGGAAGATAGGTTAGGTGCACAAAATGTCATATGTCACAGAATGTTCCGGAACTCGGAACATAAGTAAACAGATCAGCACGCTTCTGAAATATGTCTTTTTTTTGTCTCATACAGGTAACAGATTCATTGTCCTTTATTAGCTATAACCGATGTTGTCAAATGGTGAAATAGAAACGAATCCCTTTAAATGTTGAATACATTATTTCATTCCTCTTTTTTAAGTATTTCAATAATTTTTTATAGAAAAAGGTTGAAATGATAAGTTTAAAATACGTTGTTTTAGAGCTCTTTTATGAAAACTTCTTGATTTTCGTCAGGAGGAACATTCCCCATTATAAATGCTTTGGATAGTGATTGTTGAATTGAATAATTTTCTAGATAAACGTTAGTTTAGAATCAGTAATTTCCCAGCCGACAGTAATAAACTGTAGACATATAATTGGCAGTGAAATATTGGCAAACCCGTTTTTGGAACCAACACTTACAATGAAAATAATTCCTTTGGAATCTGAACAAATATTTTCTCAGTCCGGTCCTGCTCAGTAACACACGTGGATTATTTAATGAGTCTTCGTTGCACTTATTGTAGGGGGGATAATAGTTTCCATGCGGCAGGCTAAATAATAAGTCTAAGTGATATTTGTAATTTGATAACATTCAACCATTAAATCAGCGAAAACTTTTTCACCAAAATCAATATGAAATACAACAACTGCATTCTCAACTGAGAAAAAAATCAATCTGATTTCATAAAACCGTTATAAGTAATACAATGGGTGATTTATAATGACACAGACAAAAAATGACCCTGAATTTTAATGGCATCATTGAAATTTCTCATAAATATACATGATTGATGCATTTTTATAGTTTTCGCCTTGCTTTGACCTATCATTTGATTAATATGTATAATTCCTTAAAACGTCACCATTTTTTAGACTGGGGATTAACGAAAGTGCATTGAACGTATTATTTTATCGTTATTTAGCTAATGTGAATACAGTTATTCCATACGAAGGTCATAAGGTTGATGTCAACAAAATTTTATGAACGAACGATTTTTGAAAATATGGTCGCTTTTCGACTTAATTTATTAAATACTTCAAAATAATAATTCTGTGAAACATAAACATAATTGATATAAAAACTTGTTTGGATAATCTTTATCAGTTGAGTAATTTCGTAATATTCAGTCACCATTTGTATTCATAATATGTATATGTGTGAGTGGACGTGACTTTTAACCTCAGTTTGATTACCAAAATATTCATTTGATAGAAAAGTTGAGTTGGTTTTACCGGATAATAAATCACATTTAACTTTTTATTGAAGAGCTGGATGATCCTGACAAAAAATTCAATAAACATAAAATAATATTTCTTTGGTTCATTTGAGCCATCCACTTCAATAACTATATTAGATTTCAGCAACCAAATTTAATTTTCATTATTTTCCTCGTCCATCATTTTCTTCATTCTGATATAATGATTCCATGTTATAAGTATTATCTGATGTTCCATGATATAATTTATATTTGTGAGAACCACGAAGGGGCGACATCTAGGTTCAATCTTTCAAATCTCAAACTCTAGGAAAATATTGATCATTGTCATAATGGACCAAAGTCGTAACTATTCAAATTTTCCTTTGTTGCATTCATTTATTGTAATACTCTTAAGAATATAAATATGATTTCGCTTGATTCCAACTTGATTCCACTTGATTCCAACAACCATATTTAAATTTGTGAATATTTCATTCTTCACCTTGTCTGTCATTGTCCTCATTCTGATGTTACCATTCCATGTTTTAGCACTACCTGACATGATATAATTTATAATCGAGAAAACTATGAGGGGGCGACATTTATTTACGTCAAGTAATTCTAATTTCAAACTTTAGGAAAACTGACTATTGTTATAAAAAACCATAGTCGCAAACATTCAAATATTCGTTGTTACTTTCATTTATTGTAATAATATAAGAACATATGGTTTCGCTTGAACCATCCACTTCAATCTGTACATAGCCAAAAAGATTTGAATTGAGAAATTTTCATTGTTTTTCTTATTCGGTGTTTTCTTTATTCTGACTTCATCATTCCATGTTTATAACTCTACTTGACGTTCCATGGAATAGTTCATATTAGGAAGAACCACGGAGTGGGCGACATCTAGGTTTAATAATTCGAACTTCAAACTCTAGGAAAACGTTGATTATATTGCTATATTGTCAAAGGGACCGTATTCACAAATATTAAAATATTCGTTGTTACATTTATGGATTATAATTTTCCTTTGAAGAAATGTAAAAGCCAGTTCTTCCTAATAGACACTTCAACAAAGATGATTTTACTCTAAAAACATAAAATCCGTTTCTGTTCTGTTTAAAACCTGTCACGTTCTCTACTCACGTCGTGAGACGTGGAATGGAAGTATTATTGGAAATGATATGATGGATCCGGTTTGCCTGCCTTTTAATAAACTATCGATCGCTTGGACAATACTTTTATTCGTGTCTGTATATACGTGTGACGTCTGACCCGATCCCGCGTAGGTCAAGATCAAATTTAGATATAATTGTACTAAATTTAGCCGTTCGCATTGCCCTTAAACTTACGTCAACTTCGATCTGCTAAAATCTTGCCAACTTCGTGTTCAACACGTAGACATCGGTACAAAGTACACTCCGCGTATTTTTGGTAAATATTTTTCACGCGCTGAAAAGCCGGAAATAACAAAGAGATCATCTTCAAGAGAAAGATTAAACTTTCTCTTGAAGATGATCGCTTGGTGATAGAAACACGTGTCGAGGTGTTAAAAATAACAGTTTGGTGTTGGGATTAAATTCCAGTAATATTCATTACTACACCAAAGGTTCCACAAGTAACCCTCGTAAACCATTGGTTTCTCAACTTATTGGGGAATCCTTTTAAAACAATGCCTAAATTTGGAAAAAATCTCAGAAAAGATGAAGCGTCTCATCTCTGAAAACTCCAATACTCCTTTATCAGTGAACAACAAACATGTTTAGTTTTTATTTAACGTTACGCAACTAAAAACGATATTTCGCAAGAATGATTTGAACGACGCATTCAGGATAATGGTTCAATAATAACATTGAAAAATTGGATATATGCTCATTGTACACGTAGATATTATTGTAGTCATGCATGATTTCGTAGTAGATTTCGTAATATAATCAAGTGTTTTAAAATAAATAGTACTCTCATTCACGCCGGTTAGGGGCCGGAGTGGACCGGATGTCCACGTGGGAGTAGGATCGCAACAACTAATCATTTATGAAGAAGATGATAGTATTACATGTACTGTATATGTCCGCCGTTGATAGACGTGCATACCAAAAACGTACAATTTGGGAAGAATAAAAAGGGGTGCAGTGTTGCGTAAAGCAATACCTCTGTACTCTCCTCGAATAGACATGGCTTACTGCGCCTGAATGGAAGCAATCCAATAATGAAGAGAGAGAGAGAAATGGAATGATAAGTGAAGGAACTAAACAATACACTGTTCAAAAGTCGAAGTGGATAATTTAACGTCTATTAGATAGAAATTGTTTGACTAACTTTCTGAATTGGAAGTCATTTATATTGGCAGATCTTATGTCCAAAGGCAAATGATTGTACATTTTTACCGTTGTAAAATATGGAGTCTCTGGTGATGTTTTTAGTTGCCACAGTGAGTTTCAGAGTGTGTCTGCTGTTTCGGGAAATGGAAAGCAAAATTTAATATAGGCTTATTTATCAAACACACAGATTCCAGTATAAATAATGCAGTTACCGTTAGAATATTATGTTTTTTTAAGAAGGCTCTACAGGAGTCTCTTGGTCTGTAAAATTAGTAGACTTTTGAATAAAGTTGGACTGCATGCTCCCCAAAACGGCATTCCGTAGCGTAACAGAGAATCTATAAGTGCATAGTACGCCATCTTTGCAGTGCTGAACCGCAATTCTTTATAAATCACTCTAACCGCATAATAGCCAGAGGAGACTTTTCTAGTGAGTTGTTTAACATGTTTATTGTTATTTTTAGATTCCAGATTCCAAAAAAAAGTTCGTTGATTGAGCTAAATGATATTAAATTTGTTTTAGTTAAGTTGAAAGATAAAATGTTTTAATCACACCAATCTTTGACTTTTTTCGAGTCGGCAGAGATTATTTCGTGCAACTCACAAGTGATTTTATTACTCCAAAGTATTGTAGTGTCATCTGCAAATAAGGTGAACTTCCCAGAAATATCAAGCTTGGTGAGGTCATTAATATATAATAAGAAAAGAATGGGACCTAACACAGAACCTTGGGGAATTCCAGAATTAATTTTTTTTGAAAGTTGACTTGTTTTGACTATTTGCGTCCGTCCCATTGAGTAGGAATCGAACCATTTGTGAGTTACTCCTCTGCATTCATAACGTTGGAGCTTTCTCAGCAGTATTTTGTGATCAACGCAGTCAAATGCCTTTGACAGGTCACAAAATACTTCGGCAGTCTTTTCACTGACATTGCTCTCAGAATAAACTTTATTCAGAAATGAGAAAATAGCATCGTGCGTATTTTTATTATACTGGAAACCGAATTGATTTTCACTGATGATGTTATGATTGTTTATCAATCCAAGTGGTCGTTTTTTAACTATCTACTGAAATATTCTCAGCTGAATGCAATTATACGAGTTTCTAGTTAAACCAGTTTCATTATTGACACATAGATGTTATTTTCGTGGCTCTCAGTTTCATCACTATCCATTTTATAGCTGTGCTGTAAAGCTCTATTTTGTCGGCCTATCATTTTATTGCTATGAAGAAAATATTCACATGAACTTCACACTGAAATAATAATTTAGTAGTTTTCATTGTTCAAATGTTCATACACAGAACTTTATAATTTCACAATTGTTTACATATACATTATCGCAGTAAGCCGTCAAATATATTTTCATCAGTGATTCTATAACAAACACTAACCTTGTCGAAAAACAAGGAATTACGTATACGTTTCAAATAAAATCCGCAATTTTTCGTGGAATTCCTCCCATAGAAATGTTGTAGTTCTGTTGCAGTCACAGTCCAAAGTTCAGGCGGATAATTCCTAGAACTGCTTCGTTGTAAACAGATACAGAGCCCAGGACCGTATTGTGAAAATAATTTCATCGGATAAAAAATAAATCAACTTTGATAAACCGTATTATTTTAGGTTATTTCCAATGTTATGTCTACTTTACACTGTAATATCTTAATGAATACGTATTTAATTCAATAAAAATGAGCGTCATTTGAATCAATGCAGTTTTGCCAACGTAAAACAACTCGATTAATTCCGGTGGTGGTTTGGCTCGGTGGTAGAAAGTTCTAGTAAATCACACCGGTCGCTGACCACCATACAGTAACCATGGTATTTTTTGGTGGGTTTTCGCCTTTGAGAAGTCATCGGTGTCCAACCACTGTCCCGAACGTCTCAAGATTTCGAGTTTTATTCGTAGCTAATTAAAGATTATTCATTGTGAACCAACTTTCTGCTATATCATTCACTTCATTAGCTACCCTTGAGAGTTCATCGTTTGTCACTCCCTGAGAGGGTAAACGTGGTGACGTCAGCAAACAAAACTGATGAAATGAATAGCAGTGGACCCAGTACTGATCCTTGGGGCACCCCATTCTCTAAAAGTCTATTGTGAGATATTGAATTATTACAGTCTACTGCTTGAGATAGAAGACGAATCTCTTTTATCTTTGATATTCGTAACGGGACATGTCGCCTTCACTTAGCATAAAGATTATACAAATATATCAGTTATTAAACAAAATAAAAAATAAACTGAAATATATGAGACCTATATAGTAGAATATAGTGTGTAAAAACGTAGCAGTAGTAAACGACGAAGAGATTAATAGAGAGAAGAATGATGAACAAGTCAATTGGAATAATATTGTACCCGTAGATATTGAGATAAGAAGAGCATTAATCAGAGTGTGTTCAAAGTAGTTTACATCCTAAAGTTACCAAAAATTTCAACTCATTTTTGTTCCAGGGTTGAACGCTTCGGAGAAGAAATCATTCATATTCCTGCGGAAGGAACTACCCGTCCGTCTGGCCAACATAATGAAAGAAATAGCGTTGCTGCCCGAAAACCTGCTGCGCATGCCTTCCGTCGTCGCGGTCAACGACTGGTACATGCGCAGCTTCCAGGAGATCATCGAGTTCGAGAAGAGAGAGCCCGACGACGGGGTTTTGGAACACTTCTGCAACGAACTGGTCAAGATCAGGAACAGGCATTCAGACGTGGTGGAGACGATGGCGCAGGGGGTGCTGGAGTTGAAGGAGTCCCACGACGTCGATCACCACACGGAGCATAGCATCCAGTACTTCCTGGACAGGTTCTACATGTCGAGGATATCGATCAGGATGTTGATCAACCAGCATAGTAAGTTTTTTAATCTTCCTCTTGGAGATGATCACTTGGTGATTGAAACACGTGTCGAGGTGTTGAGGGATAGAACTTCGATAATATTCGGTATTCGAAGTGTTTTCAAATCTAACCATATTGTACGGAAATGAGTTTTGCAGGGGCCCGTCTACTGCCTCAAACGGTTCTAATGCAAAACTATAATCACTTCATTTGGGTTAAACAAAACAATTTTTGAAAACACAAGAGTTACAAAGACGTCTTCAACGTGTATGGACAATATACTTACGACTCTCCCAGAAGACAACTACACTACGGAAGTTTTTGATCCGTGCCTGTCTGATCACTATACGCAGTCTATAGCGATTATGACGAAACAACAAAGCGTAATAGAGCACAGCTGGAAACGGCTGGTGAATAATTACAGGTTGGAAGAATTTAAAAATTCTCTTGATAAAGTTGACTGGGTTTTTTTTTTACAAGCAGGAATACTCAGATCCTAATGTTTTAATGAACACTGTGACACAAACCTATCAGACTTTGGTAACCAAACACTTCCCTTAAAAAAAGTTAATTTAAAATTAAATAGAGAAAAAACTCAAAATCTCGGTATTTCAACAAATCATAACGTTGCGGCAGGTAATGAGGTCACATTGCTTGGAATTGCTTTGGGTGATGAACTGAACTGGTCCAGGCACATAGAACAACTTAGTGAGAAAGTATCGAGCTATATTTATCTAATGCGACAACTAAAAAAGGTTGTTAACATTAACACTCTGCTTTCTCTGGGGGAACACAAGTTATGCTCAAAAAATATTCGTTCTACAGAAAAAAACAATGAGGATAATCGTTGGTGCTCACTGCAAGCCAATTTTCGAAAAATATGGAATCTTGCCTCTACCTTGCCTGTTTGTCTATGATGCCGTGATAGATATTCACAAAAACAGACATTGTTATTCGAATGTATCTGAATCTCATAATCATAATACGAGATCAGCGAATCTGTTCAAAATACCTTTTTATCGACTTGACGTGTCCAGGAATAACTAACCTAAACTGCAGTTATACAACAAGTTACCAACTAGTTTGAAACAACTTCCTCTAGGATTATTCAAGAGAAAATGCAAAGTGCTATTATTAAAGTATTGTTTTTATTCCATCAATGAATTTCTCAAAGCTCCTTGGAACGACAACTCCATTTGATATTGCGGTTCAGTGTGATTTTTAACAATGTTAAACAATTGTATAGTACATACTCTTTCTTTTTTTATATAATTGTATTATAGGTATTTTTTACTATTTGTCGTATAGGATGAGCCTATGGAGGTGAATGTATATTAATGTGTTTGTGTGATGTTCCTATTTACAGTGGAAGCATTGATCTGCTCCCACGTATACACGAAACCTTTTGTCTGAGAATCCAACCACCATCAATCTACCAAAAGAGGAATCATTGAGACTCTGGTGGATCTTGCTTCAGGGCTCGGACATACGAAGGAAGGTCTCGAGAAGGAACTAGGCATCATCAAAAAGGTGATGGTAGAACAGACTTTGGCTGGAAGACAACAAGAGCCTCGCAAGAAAGCTTATTGCTTAATATAATTGATATTTTAGCTATTGATTCTAATTTTATTTGTTCTTTCATAGATTTCTAATCATAGTAGAATCATATTAGAAAATGGAAGTCCGAACTAATTAAAGTAACTTCAATGTCATTCGGAAGCTGGTTGGTAACAAAAACCCTAATCATTTCTCATATATATCGGTGATCATTCCGTGGGAGTGCCATGAAATTTATAAGAATATTCATTTGCGACGTATCTTGAAGTGTCATATATTAGCAAAACAGAACTTTTATTTCTCAATCGCTATTGATGAAGATAAGGTGCTGTTTGTTATTCTACTATATATCTGTCTCCCACAAGCTATTTTTGTTGTAATATGTTTACCATACACTCATGTTATAATGGACATGGGAGTGCAAATGTTTGAACACAAATAGATATTAGTAATTGAATGATAAATGGATTTCATATCAGTTCATAAATCTGCATGCAAACCACGTGATAATCAAACGACATAGCGAATTTTCATGAACTCCTTCTGTATTACGTCATGGATGGATGCAGAAGTTGTCAGTTTGTACATTTCTTTGTATGAACAGAGCTACTCAAATTGAAATGTTAAGGTTAAGAAGGACTCTTGAATTGGACCATCAAAAAATTCAACATGTGATATTGATTTTGCTTATACAACTTTGTTGTTATCACTCCCTTTGAGATGGATTCATACTGGATGTGCCGAATTTTATATAAAGAACTACTCATGTAACTGAATAAATGCTACGGTTAGAGTGAGACGACCGATATTTAAGTGGGTCGCCATTTTTAGATATGAACTTCTTGCCCCACGTTGGGTGCCAATTAATATGAATGCAGCCTAGTATTTTATAACCAGAAAATGTTACCAAATACCAGACTTGCATACATGCAAACACAGTTGTTCATCAGAGAGCACTATTCAATTTGTTTAAAACAATTCACCAAAGTAAAAATCGATTGAACGTTCTATCAAATCTAGAAGGCAATCATATCTTTTTCAAGCACAGAACTGAAACAAAATGGTGATACCAAAACTATAGCTTTGTAGTTTCATTCAAAAAACCAATAAACAGCCAACATTACAACAGCAATAGTTGGAAATGTCATGTTAGAAGTTTTGATCCCTATAAATGAATTCTGGCTCAATATTTCTTATATTGGGTGATTTGTAAGAGGTATAGGATTTGATTTTCAAAACAACACAAAAAATTTGATGAAATCTTAATTGGAATCGATAGAACGATCAGTATAATTTTTATGTTTGAAGATGATTTCATGCAAATTTCGTTTGCGGCTCCGCTTTAGATGGCCCATGCGCGAGGTCCAATTTTGACACACTCTCTAACATATAGACCGGTATTTCAGGTTTAAATGCTTTCAATATTGGCTTCCAGAGCGTCAATCGTTGCTGGTTTATCTCTGTAGATATGAGCCTTAACATGACCCACAAGAAATAATCCAAAGGCGTTGAATCACACGACCTAGGCGGCCAACTGACGGGCCCCAAACGTGAGATAAACTACTCACCGAAGGCGACTCTTAATTGGGCCATTGTTTCACGTGCCGTGTGGCATGTGGCACCGTCTTGTTGAAACCACATGTCAGGCATGAGCCTCGTCGCTGAAACCCATTTTTCGATACTACCAAATGTTAGACGTTGTAGGAGGTCGTGTGGCTTCAATTCTTGCACCAGCTGTATCTTATAAGGTTCTTTCGCAAAATTTTCCATGTAGTGGAGTAATAGATCGAGTCCCAATTGCTGCGAACGGCGGCGAATCGCCATTTCACGGTCATCAAGAACACTGGCGGATACAGCCGCAATATTATCTTCGATCCTCACTCTACGTATGCGTGTTGGTGGTTTAATGTCCAATAATGTAAACTGGGTTCGAAATTTAGTCACAAGATTCCGAATAGCTCCCTCAGTAGACCGACGAAACTGCCCATAAATTAGAAGAGGTGCACGGTGCACTTTCTTCGCCGAACATGAAATTTGAGAATAAAATTCAATAATTTGGAAGCGTTGTTCATTCGTAAGTCGATTCATGGTTAAATTATAGACCAAACTGAGAAAGTTTGACAATGACACAAGACACGATTCACGCGTGATCTGTCAAAAACAGTGTTACCAAAAAGATGCCAGCCAAGAAATCACTCATTATCACAATATACCATATTCTTAATATGTTAATATCCTCATTTTATTTGCAATAGAAATTATTGATGAAACTAAAACTATGTTACTTGAAATTAACTTCATTTTATAAGACTGAAATTTGTCTCGATGAAGAAAACTTCTCACTCCTGATGCTTGGAACAACTGCGTCATCAAAGCAATGTGGTCCAGAAGTACGACATCAATGTCTTCCAATACGTATTTATTACATTTTTATGAAACTGAGCTGACTGTCACTATTTCAGAATGAGATAATGCATGTTGCATTGTACGTCGGGCATCCGGTATATATCTGATCAATGACGCACTTTATTACACAATTTCATAATGCATATGAAGAAATATTTACATTTATTGGATAATTTCTGGAAATAACCGATTATAAGCGAATCGTTCGTTGGTTGATTATCGCACAAGCTATAATAGCTAATTAATTTAGTCCAGTTTGACCCATTCATTTCGAACTGAATATTGAGAACACATTACTCAACTAAAATATTAATGATTATCGACAAAGAATAAAGGCCAAAATGATAATAAAAAATGCATCACTGTGTTGGTAATGAAAAATTGTTCGATTTCGAAGAATGCAAAGCAGTGTTTCTGTTTCAAACCAAGATAACTTTTTATTCTCTGATCACGAAGCGGATGTTGTCACAATAACAAAATGGTAGTGACTCTCTGAACCTTCTCCCACACCACTTGAACGCTCAACACCCCAGCATCAAGTTCACCAAGGAGACTGAACAGGACCAGGTGATAGCATTCCTAGATGTACTTATCGAACGACGTAGTGCTAGACTTACTCACAAAGTGTACCCAAAAACCCACGCACACGGATAGATACCTGCACGCACTATCAAACCACCATCCTAGTCAAAAGAGAGGAGTCATCTTTACTCCAACTGAACGAGCTCAAAGAATATGTTAACCAGAGCATCTCGAATCTCGAGGAAGAACTGGAACGTCTTCAAATGACCTTGAGACGAAAAGATACAGTGTATCCAAGATCAACAAAGCCATGAAACTGAAGAGCTCCGTGGTTCAAAACGGGGAGGAGGCTCAAATATATCCCTAGGTTCATAGACAGAGTTGGGGAAATACACCATTAAAACGGTTTTCAAAACCACCAAGAAGATACAACAGAGTTTCGGGTCAGCTAAAGACAAGAGAGGCCCACTATTAGCAGCAGGTGTATATCGCATACCGTGCACTTGTGGGAAGGTATACATCAGAACCATTTTCTATTTGACCTAAAGCGATGTCAGATTTATGTATCTTCATTATCTGTTGTCTTGTCACTAATACACCTCTTTATCATGACACGCTGAGTAGTGTTTCATCCACAATCGTCATTTTTATTTAAGTTTTTGTACAAACTATTCTTGCATGAGTTTTATATCATTGCTCCCTGCCTTTGTGTGTAAAAACCATACTAATTGTATTGAAGTACACTTATTTTCAGCTTTGCTCTTTGGTGGTCAGCTGGAGAACGCGCCAGGGCCAAACAGAAGCAAGTACATCGGCTGTATAGATACGCAATGCGACGTCGTAAGTGTTATAAAGGATGCCTACGAGAATGCGAGATTCCTGTGCGATCAATACTATCTGGCGTCTCCGGACCTCATCATCGATCTGTCGCATCACAATCGTAAGTTCTCAGTTTCATCAGTTTTATTAACCCCCAGGAACAGGTAATTATTGAGCTTGTACTAATAATATGCGAGCTGAGGCCAATAATTGAAATAAAACAGAAGCGTGCAGTCTTGGCATCAGCTCCGTCAGCTATTCCGTCATGTGTACCGGTAGGTACTGATCAAATCAACTGTCTGGATGTCATTCTCGACGTTTTCTTGATGATATGCAGATTATTGTATGTTTCAGTCGTTATATCAAATGCTTTTTTTCTAGAGGGTGAACCAGATCAGAACATTAATATCGTCTATGTACCGTCACATCTCTATCACATGCTATTTGAATTGTTCAAAAACTCGATGAGAGCCGTCATGGAGTATCATTCCTCAGCCGATCAATACCCTCCTATAACTGTCACAGTCGCCAAGGGCAAAGAGGACATTTGTTTGAAAGTAAGTATGTAACAGGGACTCCGAACTTTCGACAATTGACAACGGCCATCTTGTTGAAGCTACATCTGTCAAATTAGTTGTCATTCATTCAATTTGTTTTGTCAAATCACCATGGACGGATATATCAATCAACAACACGTGCAAATAATAAAATTGTTCTATCACAATGGGTGTTCTGTTTTTGTGTTGTGTGTGTCTGTGCACTGTCGCCATAATCGTCCTGCCGAAATACTATTCACAATATGGTAGATAAATTTTAGACCCCTGATTCAGCAAACGACCGATCAACACCCGTACGTCGACGAAAAGCAAGATCTGCCGAAAACATCGCCGGTGTCTGAACTCGGCGTTTCGCAGATCACAACGGCCTGTACCCCTACAAAATTCAACTGACCCAGAAACTGAAGGTAAACGTCCATAGACAACGACGTGTGTTCGCTAAATGGGCTCTGATGCAGTTGGCAACTGCTGAACAAATTTTCATCGAAAAATCATCCTATGTGTTATTTTTCATAGTCGCTTTTCTGTCAACTGTCATAGAGAGTTCGAGCATAGAACAATTTGTGACCTGTGACTGATGCACACAACATACATAACAGAAGAGGTGACTTTGGTCAATCCCTTATGATTATTCGCACAAAATGGTGTCGAGTGAAATAGTGAATCGTAAAAGGATCTGACACTCTCTGAAGTAAAATTACTCTGAGCGGAAGAATGGAAAATTCGAAAAAACTGAAAAGCGCGAATATCATGAAAATGCACAGGTTTTGCGCTGTATTGGTAACACTGTTGGAGATGGAGTTACTAGCGCCTAATTGAAACTACGAAGAAAGTAAGGAATAGTTCAGATATTTTACGTAAAATCATGCCAGTTGTGGTTTTCACTACAAAAATACAAATTATGTCTCTTAGTTTGACGTTCGGAAACAAAAGTCTAGATATTGCCCGCTTGCTCCGTGTTCAACAAAGCGAAGTTGATTTTGATCTGTGAATCATTCCCAGAGTTTGAGTAGTGAATCACGCTAGGTGATATAAAAGAAACCGTTGTTTTTGATAACTATTTACAGATAAATTACGATGATATTCCAGGAAATGATCGAATCTGTTTACATACGTTTCAGTCGAATTTCTGAAAGGAACTGGAGTGTTGGATTCAGTTAAATGGTTCTCATAAGGTTCCTATACACTGGTGTAGCGAATCTTTTGTGTAGCATTTTTATGTAAATCTGTTGAGCAATACGGCTAACTCGATGCAATTTACGTGGGCTACTCACTTCAAAAAAACGCGTTGTGAACAAATTTTATATTCAATATTCATAATACGGTGAGTAAACACGTTTACTCTTTCAGATGTGTGACAGAGGTGGTGGAATTCCCAGGTCTACAACCGATCACCTGTTCAAGTATATGTACTCGACGGCCCCCCAACCGAGCAAATCAGACGCCCACACTGTCCCCCTTGCCGGTTACGGTTATGGCTTGCCTATCTCTAGGTTATACGCCAGGTATTTCCATGGAGATCTAGTACTTCTCTCTTGTGAAGGGTATGGGACAGATGCTGTTATATATATGAAGGTAGGTCGATCAACGTCAAAAAGTGCAAAAGGACTTAACAAAATTCTGCATTTATTTCAGTTCATAACTTGCTGTTTAATAGGACTCTGCCAAATAAATTTTGTAATTTGCATATTCCGCAATATTTTTCAAGTTGTTTTGATACTTTCATCAATAAACCGCATTATTATCGCTAATTAAGTAATATAGGTTATGCAAATATCAGGTATAAGGCGGTGATACTGTTTTTGGAAAGATACCAAAAACCACTTCAAATATTTATTGTTTGAGAACATACTTGATAGTGTACATAATGGATTAAGGTGATTTTCATGTATATTGTTAGGTATGTCCATAAAAAACGTTTTATCGCCTTTGTCATTGTCGGATATTCTTAATTAGTGACTCACGGTGTTTTTCTGTTTGATGACCTGTTCCGCAACAATAATATAAGGTAGCGGAAAATTGTTGCAATTTTATCACTGATTGAGTCTCGAGAAAAGAACATAACCTATATGTTTTGAAAACCGCGACCCAAAAATTGAGTGTCCATCCAAAGAGTAACTCTTTTCCTAAATTCCAGCCTGAATAAAGATGATTCTGGCAAGGAATATACATGTTATGTGGTGATGTCTGTCAACAACCACAACCACAGATCTCTCTCACTATTTTCAATGGACGTTACTTCCTATTGAGGTGTATTAGGCCAGTCTCTTGTCAATAATTGACAGGAGCTGCCTCAGGCAGCGCAGCTTTCTCACTCAAAGCAATGCTGTCACAGTCATTCTTCTTTTTTTTAACATCATTTTTTACTGTCGCCCCTTTTCCGTGGTTATGCAAACCACTCCGGCCTGGGTACCGGCGTGAATAAAGAGGACCCTGACTTCACATTTTGACACATTTTTCCTATCTTGTTTAACTTTGTACAATGGGCAATCACAACACAAAAGGAAGCCCCGCGATAGAACATGGCATCCGCGAATCTTCTTTGTGGATACGAATCAGCCCAATTTTTAAGAAGAAATATGTGGTGCCACACTAAGTCAAATGCTATGTATATATCCATATTGAACAAAACTGTAATTTGCAGAAGATAACAAAAAAACTGGACACATCATCACCATTATCTGTTAGCTGCTACCTTTTTGAAAAGTTTGGGTAATAATTATGAAAGGAGAACTATGATGTTTCTATTATTCATGTAGATCAGTTGGAGATGATATGTCTAGGTATTTCCTGCTAACTTCAGAGCAGTTGAATAACAGCAATATGTTTCAATTATTAAATATAATTTATTGTATAACATCAGTAATTTAAATCTGTTCATACTTAATTTTAGGCTTTAATCGACGAAGCTAACGAACTGCTTCCAATTTTCAACAAAACGACTTCGAAGTTCTACAGAACGCTGGTGAAGACCGGAGACTGGTCCAATCAGGCAACCGTCATCGGAGATAGGCAAATAAGCACCAAAATGAAAAACCATCAGCTACCTCAGTCAAGTAAAGAATTCATGAGCGGGGCTCTCTAATTAGAAAGTGATATAACAAGTGATAGAATCGGTTTTCTAATTTGAACACACTGAGGTATTTTTTTTGTGACTTGTAGGATGAAGGAAAACTGGATATAGTTAGTTGATATCTTCATTTATGTCACATCAAAGATATTTTTCTGTACGACATACTAGCTTAGATGACACATGTAAGTTATTTTTCTTATCGCTGATTTGTTAGATATTTCCTTTGTATTCAAAAAGCATTATTTATAACTATGTTAGTTTAGGTGGAAGGAAAACATTAGCTTAGCTGAGCATCCTATATGTATGTTCGAAGCGACATTCAAAATAAATTATTGAGCAAGTATTACACTAGGTGGGATGTATTTTAAGGACCAGTTCTTTAAGAATTTTTGTAAATATTTTAATTGTTTATGTACAAATGTAAATATTTGATTTTGGTTATTTATTTTGATTAAGGCTTTCAAAACTGTCATGAAATGTGATTTGAGTTGATTAAATAAATTAATTTTTTTACAAAATTGTTTTGTTTACGTCATTTACATATTTCCTGATTACACAAAATATAAATGCTTGTGTTGGGAAGTTCATCCTCCAGATACAACATCTACCGGACATATTATCATCGTCCAGATACACCTACCGGACATATTAAAACTATAGTAAAACCAATAGCAGATAGCAGAATCAAAATATAGTAAGCAGTAGAGTTATAGGTTGTGGCAAATTATAGATAATTCACAATACTAGTACGATTAAAAGGTATTATTTATGACAAAAATCAGTAATGAGCTTGTAATGAGTAATACTTATTTATTTCCTGATTACTGATCAGTTAAAATTCATTATTTTCTGTATAGTGTTAGATATTTATTACAACTAGTGGCAATGCTGTATGCAACGATATTTCTGTCTTTGTCACTTTACCGTAACTTCCATCTCATCGTTGTAGTCCTCACTAATGTACTTGCAGTCAAGAGCGTATCATTGGTTTGTGAATTATACAGCGTGAATTGTACGTTTTATAGTTAAGTTAGTCAGCAATCGACGTGTTGTGATAACAATTGGTGAAAATAATAATGCTAATAAGTGTTTAAGCGTTACATAATTATATTTCTAATTCTATGTGTGTACCTCCGAATAACCAACCGGGCATTTCTACATCATTAAGTTCCACAATTACAAAAGATAAATTATTTGATATGTGCTCTGATTATACCGGTGTACCAAAATAATCGATTTACAAAATACTAAGAGAAGCAGAAATTCATGGGGACGTACAAACGCCAAAAACTAGTAGCGGACGAAAAAAAATCAATTATTGACAGCAATCTGTTTTAAAGTATTTAATTCTAAATTGAATTTGGAGGGAGATACGGGGATGTTCAACAATCTGTTAACATAACAACTGAAGGAAACCATTTTATGTTGCATAGGATGAAATGAATTGAAAGGAATGACATGATCAGTCTAGGTTGGCTTTCTTTGTGTCTGTAAGGTTGCATAGTAGATGACGGGCAGTTTTAAACCATTAGTAACAGGCAACACCCTATATTCATTTCGTCTACCTATAATTAACTATATTATTCAAGTCAGTGCTCAGTTGAGAAAGAAGTAGATTTATAAATTAGTTTTTGGGGAAGCAGAAAGAGGAATACTGAAAATACCAATAATGTTTCTTTACAAGGGTGTGTAAATCATATGTAGAAGTATTTTCCCATATAAACTATCTGAAACAACTACTGTGGGTTATGAACATTGATTTACGCTACACAACTTACTAGATTTGAATAAAATCTCACAGAAACAGTTCTCAATCTGTATGTGGCCCTCTGGGCCACATAATTAGCAACACATTAAATATTTGATTTTTTGTAGACGGGTGGCAAATATTCTTCAAGCTTCAGATATCTAATTTTAAATAAAACAGAGGTCTGATCTTACAAAAATATATTTTCGAAAATGTTTCGTTTCAATAAACTGGAATGTCATTTTCAATTCGAAAAATTAGGATTCTGGTACACATTATAAATAAACTCGATGTCATTTTCAATTTGTTTTCCTTCAGGAACATCTGGATCACTAAAAGTTGACATTTCATATTTCGAATTGACAAATATTTCTTACAACACCTAACATTTCTTACAACTCACCTAACCTTCACCAAATTGTCAGGAAGTTCAGGAAAAAAAGTATCGCAATCAAAGGTTTTTAATATCCTGGTAAGATAGAGTTGATAAAAGTACTCCGACTTCATTGCTTCCTGAAATTTGATATAAGAATTGATCAAAGAGCTTTCAGTGCGAAAGTAATGTCTATATAATTGAAGGGTTCAACAATGAGATTCATCCGGACAGAAAAGTTTTAGCTAGATGGAGAAGTTTCTACTTCTCTATATAAAAATCAAAATTAACTCTTTACAAAGATGTGTAGATCATGCATAGATGTTTAATTACATCTTTTTCGATAAGACTGATATCCAATCACATTCGTCTTCTCATTGTTGAGGAGATAGAAAGAGATGAACCAATTATTAAGAACACTAAGTACATCATTTCAGCTGTAACCTTCCTATTAGAAATCATTATTAACATGTCATTGCAAATATAGTGAATTGAACTTAATTCCCTATAAATTCAATTTCAATTATAAATAATAAAAGCATTGGTCTAAGTACATAACTTTGTGGTACACCAATGATTAAATCACAATATTCAAATTTCACATTCCTTTTTTCCTATGATCTTGATTGTTGATAATACCGACTTATTGTTTGTTAGTTGGTTACTTACAGCATAGATACGGCTTCCTCCTATAACCCAAGCATTTTCATACAGTTTTTTGAAATCCTCATCCTCGAGTTTCTTGATGCATTCTTCTAGGTTTTTAAAGCTATAAGAAGCCTCATAACTTCTCAAATCTAAATCAGATCTTGACAGAACGAAGTTAATACGATTTCTCATGGGCCTATATTTTGGAGGAATTGAATCCCATGTTTTTCGACCCATGATTACTACATTTTTCTTATGTGGATCTTTTGTTTTGCTCGTTATCCTTCTAAAATGCTCCATTTCACTCCTACAAAGTTTGTCAGTGGTTACAGGTCATTTGAAAGACACGGAAAAAATATTTCACCCACTTCAGCTTCCATGGAAGGTTGTTATCCTTTCCTATACCCATGTTCTCACAAGCTGCTGATATCATTTTTAATTTAGGGGACATTTTTGAATTGTTCTAGTTCGGAGCTTTTACAAAAATGTAGAAGAATTATAAAGCTAGACAAGAATCCTCATTTTAGCCATAGGCTTAATCATTAAATAACAGCCAGTGATTAATGATCAAACCTCATGCTAACCTGAACCTAACTTCTGCACTTCCCTAAAAAGCTGTTCTTCTTCTTCTTTTTCCATTAGTGGCTTCAGCCTGGACTAGGCACAGGCAGGGTTACACTTTAGAACATTCGTAATAAATACATTAACCATTGTATATAGCAATGCATTAAGTATAATTCCAAAATAGTGGGTACTTTCAGAAATGACTGACGTTTTTGCCTTAATCTGTCTCTTGCAGTGGCGTGCGAAAATTATACTAAACAGATAATGATAATTAAAATTTAAATGATTGTATTTTAAAAACAATGATCCCATAATTGATAGACTGAACCACATTCTTCATAATACATAGCAATGTTGTTATACTCCTATGTAAATGTGGATTCATTTAATTCTCTGTTGAGTGAAATATTTTTGTTTTTAACAAAGATATACCTACCCAAAGTTAAAAAAAAAACAAAAATTATTCAGTACCTTCCATATATTTTTTACAGTAACCACGAAACCATACATATTGTAGTGTTGGTGTTGTTTTTTTCAAATGAACTCCTTATATTTGTCTCCTCATCAACAAATTTGCATTGTCATTTGCAATAAACCCCTTTGGCTCATTGCTTATATTGAAGCCTTGCTTGTTGTGAACTATTTTATGCCACCACTCATGATGAACTTTTTTGTATCATCCTCTAATTAAGTTAGCATCATCAGGAGATGCTAAAAACGATTTTAACATATCTCATGGAACTCTTATGTCTTTGCTCATTATCAACTCTTGATCTTTTTTCCATTAACATATATAATAAACTTCCTCAGCTCATTGTTCAAAACAGATTTTTCTTGTTCATTATCATTATTTACTCATTTTGAACTTATATTTCTATCATCATTAACACTTATCTGGCTTATTGCGAATTATTCCTTGTCTTTACACATTGCGAAGTTTTGGGTGTCATCACTCGTTAATTCTTTTGGATCATTGCACATCAGTAATTCCTCTTCAACTTCACTCTTGAAGTCTGTAATAGCTTTATTCTTAATGAATGCGCTTCCATTTACAACCTTATTACTGTGTTGAATCCTGTTTCTTCTCGTCCGAGGGATACTTTCATTATTTTCTTCCTTCACTTTACTCTTATGAACTTTCTTCTCATGTTTTTTCAAATAACTAATTTTGGAAAATGATTTTGGACAAAGTTCACACTGAAACGGTTTATTTGGATGAGACTTTTCATGTTGGGCCAGTAAACAACCTGAAGCAAACGATTTTGAGCAGGGTTTACATTTGAATGGTTTTTCTTCAGTATATTCCTTCTGATGAGCTCGTACAGAATCGTTGTGCATGAAAGGTTTCAAACAGAGTTTGCAATGGAACGGTTTTTCTCCAGTATGACTCCTCAAATGATCTGTGAAGCGAACTTTAGTGCAAAATGATTTTGGACAGAGTTTACACTTGAACGGCTTTTCATCCGAATGAGTCAGTTCATGTCTGATCAAGTGAGAGGGAACAAAAAACGATTTCGAACAGGTTTTGCATTTGTGGGGTTTTTCTCCTGAATGAACCTTGAGGTGAGCTCGCAAGTAATTATTTTCAGAATACGATTTTGAACAAATTTGGCACCGAAAGGGTTTTTCCCCTGTATGAAGCTTCTGGTGGGTTGTCAGATATGATTTGGTTGAAAATGTCTTTGAGCAAATGGTGCAGGTGAAAGGTTTTTCTCCAGTATGGACTCTCATATGCACTCGTAGTCTAGATGTGGTGCAAAATGATTTTTCGCAGGCATCACACTGGAACGGCTTTACTTCCACGTGAACCATTTTGTGTAATAATAAATGAGAATTTGCTAAAAATGATTTCAAGCAGATATCACACTTGAAAAGTTTTTCTCCAGAATGAACTTTCAAATGTGCTTTCAAATTATATTTTTGAGTGTAAGACTTTGAGCAGATATGGCATTGGAAGGATTTTTTCTCTTTATGAATAGTTTCGTGTCTTTTCAAAACAGAAATGATAGCAAATGTTTTGGAGCATATTTCACATTTGAAAGGATTTTTTCCCGTGTGTATTCTCTGATGTGATTTCAAAAGAGTAGGGTTACAAAACGATTTTGAACACTCTTTGCACCTGAATTGTTTTTCTTCAGAATGAACCTTCATATGCCTTTGAAAATTACATTTTGAGGCGAAGCATTTTGTACAAAATGAACATTCAAATGGCGTTTCTGCTGTATGAATCGTTTTATGTCGTAGCAACTTTCTTTTGATACATTTGTTGGTTTTTGGAGATTTTCCTTCTTGCCTGTTATAATCTGGAAAAATTAAAATATGAATTACAACATTAGAACATCAATATCTCCAAAGTTCTCAACTTTGACATATGTTCAGTTGTGAACACCTCACCTAAAAGTTTCTCTTGAACCTCATTCACAGAAGTTTGTGTACGACAATACTCCCTTAGCTCTTCTTCATGAAATGTTACTTCTTCTTTCACAATAATAGTGTTATCATTTTCTATCTCTGTTTCAAAATTATTGTTTTTCGTTATGAAAGTTTCTGCATGACCAGAATTGTCTTCCTCTTTAACTGGGAATTTCTCAACATTCTGCATATGATCCTTCTCATTCAACTCATTGCAACCTGAAATCGTTTAATGAATAACAGTTTTGTTAGTTTGACAATGACAGTTTATCGAAGAAATTGACCTTCAAAAACTCAGCTATTTTTCTTGTGAAAAATGCTATTTCGTATCTTTTTAGATTCGCATATTTTATAGTATTTGACAGAGGAAACCTCTGAAAACAGCTTAATAAAGTTTGAGCCCTTTTTTGCAACAGAAAGGTTCTTAAGTAAAAGTTCATACCAATCACTAATATGATAAATGCTTTTTGTAATAAAATAATCTATAAATTTGAGAAAGACTTTTTTTATGCAGTTAATAATCAAGGCAAAGGTCCAATTTTACCTGATGAAGTTTCAAGGTTTGAGTTCATACTTCCAAGACGAGCTTTTCCTTGATTTCCTTTCTCAAAATATGTGTTACTATGAAACCTTTTGAATTCATACATCTCAGGTACAGGTAGTTCAGAAGCATTGAGCTCTTCATGATCATCTTCTACTATTTCTAGTTTAACTGCTTTCCTAGAAAAATTATCAGTTTTCTCATCAATTTTGATTGCAACTGCTTCAGCAATATCCATAATGTGCATTTTGACATTCTCCATAGCAGATGATTTATATATATTTTAGAATCTCAATTTGAGATTCCTACTTATATTTTCGTGAGTTTGCACATTTGAATAACGATCTAACTGTATGAAGCATAATAATAAATAACAAAAAAGAAAATTATTCTCAAATATTTACTTTTCCGTATCCTACGTACAGGTTACAGTTTACTATAGAAGATATTCTTTTTCCTTTCCATTCATTGGCCTCAGCAACCAGAGCTATTTGGTAATTGAGTTCATTAGTAAAGCCAAATGTGGACAGGCCATTATTACTCTGTTGAAAAATAAGGTGAAAATTCATTAAAAAAATATTCATTTATTCGTCAATTTTTATTTTAAGTAGATCCCTTCAAACTAACACACTTGTGCAAGCGTTTTTCGAATCCAATCCCTATTTTTTAACTTTCCTGAATACATACATTTATCATTCGCCTTCCGTTGTGTTTATTCAATCCCTATAGTAACTCTCCAAAACCTCAACAGCTAGGTGGACACTGAAAGACAACGAAAAAAGAAGAAAATATGGAAAGAGTAGCAAATCTAGTGTGGAAAAGGTTAAAGGGTCAACAATTTTCTCATCGAACGAAGAACAGAATACATGCCATTTTGTCGAAACTGGGTAATGGCTTGGAAACCAAACCCAGAAGCCTGGGAGAAGAAGAAGAAACCACAAAAATTGTTTATGATCACAGTGTAAAAAAAGGTAAGTGCAGGTGATATCAGATCAGGGAATAAGTCGGAGAATTGAAACAGTGTCAAATTTGCTGTCTCAAAATCACTTAATTGAAACCTATCAAAATTTATATTTACTTCAACTGAGCAAGGTAAGATATTAATCATTTTCTTCAAACAATATCAGCTCAATTGAGTTTATCAGTATTCTTTTGAGGTTAAGTTAAGTGCGAAGAAATTCACGTTTCACCATACAAAGATTTGTATTTGGTGGTTTGCCCCAAGGTTTAAAAAAATCCATTCTTTCAGGATGTCTGGTCGGGAAGGAGGTAAAAAGAAGCCATTGAAAGCCCCCAAAAAGGAAAAGGGACCGATAGACGAGGATGACTTAGCCATGAAGCAGAAAATGAAGGAGCAACAGAAAGCCCTGCAAGAAGCCAAAGCGAAGGCATCTCAGAAAGGTCCATTGGTAGGAGGAGGGATAAAAAAATCAGGAAAGAAATGAGAACACAGAATCAACTTTTTTACTGGTATCAGAAAAAATTCAGCTTTACTAAATGTTCATATAACAAATAAATTTCTTGTGAAATAATTTTTGGTTTATTTTAAAAACAGAATTCGAATTCGATAGTTGTATTTTCTGAAATGATCATGAATTTGCTCAGAAGTATTACTGCGTTTGTATAAAATTCATACTGATATTTTATCCAACTCGTAATTCGTAATGCCCCTCGTTATGAATATTTCCAACATATCAGAAAAACAAAAATATATGGAATTTAAATGATGCTTTACTTTGGATGACATTTCAGGAAATATCTCTCTGTGGCTTTTCTTGATTCCTCAAAGGAATCGAAAATTACACTCAATTGTAAAAATGTCGAGTCAATATTGATTGACAACAGTTTTTTGCCTGCACAGTACACTGGAGTTACATATTTCACCTGGCATAAAAATTTCCAAATTCCACTTTCTTTCTCAGGAGAGTTATCCATGTTTTAGTGATATTGATTTAACATTATGTGCCAATTTGTTGTCTTCAAAACATTAACAGATGTTTGAAAATTTAACCCCTTTTTTGATACGTAAAATAATTAGGAAATTTTTCTTTCCTCACTTCTATAGCTGAGTACTTTTTTTTTCTATATACTATTTAATTTGGAGACAAAATTTGTGAATAAGTGTACTCTTTACGTGGTTTAGTAACTTTTCGGAATGGATTTTTTAGTTTACCTATTATTATTCTTTAGCAGATGCTGTTTTGATTTCTCATATCGTGGAAGGTTGAGTACCAAACAAAGAGTTGTTCCACAATTTTCTGTATACAGATTTTTCACAAAAAATATATTTTTGTTTTATTAAGAGAAAATACACTAACATAGGTCACATGAAGTAAAACACAGTACAATATATGTGTGGAAAGCAGAGATTGAATGTTTTGAAATATTTATTTTCTTGAATATGTTGTAAGTTTAGCTCACTGAATCATAGCTTATTTTTCAATGTTTACATCCCGTCTGTTATCTTCACTTTCGCTGAATTTTTCAACTCTCAAACTTATCAGAGGATGATATTTTTGAAAACCTCAAATATCTCTGCTGTGTTGAAATTCTTATCTTTTTCTTCATAATTCCAATTCCACATTATGACTAGCGATTTATTATATTTACAATTCAAAGTTCCATAGTGAATCTAAACATTTAGTATCAATATTTTGGTAATTGTCAGCAATAGCGATTAATAGCAAACTAAAGTGAAATCGGAACTATCAGTTATAAGAAATTATTAATCTTCATAAACCCCTGGCCATAAACTTGCTATTTTCTGCATAAATTTGTTTGTTAGTGTTCAATATTGAATCCATCTAGACCATTTTGTGAATAAATAATTGAATAAAATTAGCAATAATACTGAGAAGCATCTTTATCAGTTAGTACATTCAACTTTCTTTTTATTACTAACAAAATGTAATAGAGAAATAAAATAACAAAGATTGAGAAATTCATCAATGGTATAAAAATTATGATTTAATGAGAACCTTTATAGGGTGGTTTTGAAAACCTGAATTCTGTCAGTAGTTTTCAATGATTCAAGCAGTTTTAGCCCCAAGTAAGAAGGTGAGTTAGCGGTTATATTACATTTGACAGGATTTATGTGAAAATCATTGTACTTTCTTGTATTTACATTATGGTAAGATGAAATGCGATCATATTTCGACCTATTGGTGTGTATGAATACACACATTTCAAAAATGGAAATATCCGGGAAAGTCAGAATTTTCAAATGTTTGAATAAATCTCTGCAGGAGGTTCTCTGATTAACGCCTGCTAAAATTCGTATAATCTTTTTTTGGTGATGTGTCATCTGCATACATAACGCACGTTATCTCAGCAACCGCGGCCCCAACATCATTAAAGTATAATATAAATAATAGCGGTCCCAACACTGATCCTAGAGGTACTCCAATTGCCAAAACTTGAGTATTTGAAATGAATTTATAGTGACTATTTTCAGATCTATGATTCATCGAAACAAATTGACTCCTGTTTCTGGTGATAAACTCTATCCAGTCAAGGACATTTCCTCTTATTCCATATGAATATAATTTATTTAATACTATCGTGTAGTCGACGAGATCACAAAACATTCCAGCAGGGCATTCACCAGCCTCGATGTACTCCAAGATTTTTAAGTAAAAAGCTGTCACAGCAGTAATAGTGGACATATTGAATCAAAAACCATGCTGAATCGGAAATATAATGTTATGCCTCCTAATGAAAGGTAGTAACCGATGTAGGTATGCATTTTCAAATATTTTTGAGAAACTAGATGGAACAGTGATGGTCCTGTAGTTCTCTAAAAGATATGGATCCGATTTTTTGTGGACAGATACAACAAGAAAATGGGGATTTCATCAGGTCCAGGTCAAACAACCTCACTTTCATGTATTAAGGAAATATTTTTCATTTTGACTTGTGATAAAAAAAAGGTGAAGAAAAATATCTCCATACAAAGTCAGAGTAGTCAGCTATCAAGTATTCTCGTCAAGAGTAGAAACTAGATTTCAGTGAAATAATTTTTATCTTGGACTTGCCGAAGGAAGGACTGCATAATGTTTTCAACGATGGAGAAAGTCTATCATAACGTTTAATGAAGCGTATCGAATATCATTTTTCAACTTTATATGAGGAGTGTTTGAAAGTTGGTTTGATTTGAAAGACACAATTCAGAACACACAAAAAAAATAACTAAAGATTCCGGTGAGAAGATGGAAAAGCTGGTCAAATTATGTAACATGTTTGTTGAGCGGCAGCAACCAACAATCCACCGAGACGTATGTTTGCTTGCATATCAACTAAAATGTTTTGGATAACTCGCAGGGTGTTTTCCGTGTATCATAAGAGGTTCCATGATGTTACAGGTCGTTAGACTTTCCTAAAAATGGAATATTATATTCGCACAAAAAAATATTTCGTATATTTCTGAAGTTATCTACTACACATAACCTTCTGTTATCAATGACCGTGAAACGGCTATGAAATGTATTGAACTTTCTATAGGGTGTTTTTGGGCCTTTTGATACCGTTCAGAAATAATACCCTACTATGAAATGTTCAATACCGTTTTACGTCCATTTCATGGACATTGAAAACATGACGTCTTGAGCCAATTTTGAACTCGTTAGATTCAGAAATACTAGATGTATAATCGAATTCAAGAAAATATTGAAAGTTGAAAGTGCAAATACCTATAATTTGTTAGAGACGTAAACACAAAGTCACCTGTACAAATTCATTTCTAAAAAACTTGGACAATAATAAACCCATCATCAGTCGTATCGTTAGCGAAACATCAAGTGAGGGTGAAAATTTTTGTATTTAAATTTCTGTCCAAAACGGTGATGAATCTAAAAGATGATTAGTGATAAAACTAAAAGACCAAGTTATATGCTGTGAAATGAAAAGTTAAGGCCAAAATGCAACATATGTTCTTCTCATGACTTCATCATATTGTCCAAAAAGAATATATTGAAATAATCTACAAGCGTATAATTAAAAATCGTAAGCATTTTGACAGGTCTGAGTAGTTATTGGTCGTTTCAATGCTCTTACGAATTCTTCCAGCAACAGCTTACATTTGATTGAATAAATAATTTATCTCTGCTGTAGAATTTGAATATTGAAACATTTATATCTGCAGAACTATGCATTTTATATATAGGAAATATTGTTGTAAGTGATCATTTCGAATAATGATTGTGAAAAATAATAAAATCATCAAAAACAGATTTTTGGCCAACTTTTGAATATCAGTATACTATAGTTTATAGATTGTGTGTATGTCTTTTGAAAAATTGATAAATTTGGACTGTCAATCGTTCAGTATGAATATTATGAATTAATCAATATACTCAATAGATATGAGAAGTATATTCAGTTGGCAAAAAATTTTCCGGAATAAATCTAGAATTCCGCAAAAACTTCAGATAGGTGATAAAATGTAGGGTTTCATTTAGAATAACAGAGTTCGTGCCTACTTCGGGTATACTCCTGAGTGTTCGGAACATGAAACTATTTTAGTCGAATTGTACTCAATGTCATTCCCACACTATCAAATTTTCATAATTTTATACCTACTTTTCCCAATATTTATCCTCGCATTTCCCGGTAAATCACCCTGTAATATATCACAGTCATAAACAATTATTTTTAGATACCTCTTGCAGAGAACATCTGCTCGGGACAACGTAAAAGATATCCCTTTGTTTACATTTCTAAACGTGTCTACTTCTGAGCCGTCTCTGCCTCCTAAAAAGGGCACACCCTCCAAACTACGCCCCTGGAAACCTTCACCACGTTCGCAAAAGAAAAAACACGATGCAATCATGCAAAATCAGCCGGAAATATCTCACACAAAAACAGAACATAATCAATTCCCAGCTGCCTTGCGCCATTCACGAGTTTTCAATTCGAAATTCGCGCGCATCCACACCCCCACCGAGTCAATTCGATCCAGCCAGCGGAGTGACAAAAACAGCTGACCAGTTTCGTCAGAACCTTCGAGTTGTCAACTAGATAATAACAAAGTGAACTCTGCCATTGCACTGTGCAAGAACTTTCCACTTTATTTCAGAATGCATAACAAAAGGATGAAACACTTCTCGGCTGGTGTTGTCATATAGCATCCGAGGAATCCGCGGAGTAATCTGGCAGCGACGTAAAGGTAAATTTAGATAGGATATCGCTTGATAACCATAGACGAACGGGTGCCATTTTGTGGTTCTCTGTATGTGTAACAAATTATATAAATAAATCCGGAACAGTTGAATGTCCCTCCGCACACGCTAGTCGTTGGTGTGTCCTTCGTTAGGACAGTGCATGACCCGAACAGAAGGGCTTCTTTGTTTCTTTGTTTCGATGTGTTTTGGAATGTTTTCGTGTACCAAATTTGGTACACAAAAACAAATTGGTGGAACGCGATTGGACGAGTTAAGATTTTTTAAGCGTTGCATCACTGATAGATTAATTTTTAAATCGTGTTGTGGAAACACGTGTCAGATGAATTGTGTGTCTTACTGCAAGTTATAATCTT